GTCTGAACTCTGTTGTTAGTGTCACATCAATAGACAATAGTGTCAATAGTGATATCAATAGTGGCAATAGACAGCAAGACCCACTGACAACGTGGCTTGCTGTTTCCTCCATTAACACCATAATGCTGGCATCACCCATACTCCTGTCTCCAGCTCACAAGATGGCCGCCTCCAGTATTCCAGTTCACAAAATGGCCGCCTTTATTGCTCCAGCTCACAAGATAGCTGCCTCCAGTCCTCCAGTTCACAAAATGGCTGCCTTCAGTCTTTCAGCTCACAAGATGGCCGCCTCCAGTCCTCCAGCCCACATGACGGCTGCCTCCAGTCCTCCAGTTCACAAAATGGCTGCCTTCAGTCCCCCAGCTCACAAGATGGCCGCCTCCAGTCCTCCAGCTCACAAGATGGCTGCCTTCAGTCTTCCAGCTCACAAGATGGCCGACTCCAGTCTTCCAGCTCATAAGATGGCTGACTCCAGTCTTCCAGCTCACAAGATGGTCGCCACCAGTCCTCCAGTCTTCTAGTTCACAAAATGGCCACCTCCAGTTCCCCAGCTCACAAGATGGTCGCCTCCAGTCCTCCAGCTCACAAGATGGCTGACTCCAGTCCTCCAGCTTACAAAGTGGCCACAACCAGCCCTTCAGCTCACACAAGCGCCAATCTGCCACTAGCTCACAAGATGGGTTCCTGTTCCAAGTCTGTTCCTTTCATAGTACCTGTCGTTGTTCCTGTCCTTGAAATGCCATCACCTGAGCCACCAGAATGGCCACCACAACCTGATTTGCAAAGCTGTTGCCACCACCAGAGCTTTTGCTGCCAGAACTGCCAGATTTTCAGTCACTGCCAGAGCTGCCAGATTCTTAGTCGCCGTCAGATCCTCAGTCGCTGCCAGAGCTGCCAGATCCTCAGTTGCAGCTAGAGCTGCCAGACCTTCAGTCTCCGCTAGAGCTGCCAGATCCTCAGTCACCGGCAGAGCTGCCAGATCTTGAGTCGCCGCCAGGGCTGCCAGAGTTGTCTAGAGCTGCCAGAGTCGCTGCCAGAGTTGTCTGAGCTGTAAGAGTCGCCGCTGATGTCAGAGTCGCCAGAGCTGCCAATTCTGCCGCCTGAGCTTAACGATTGGTCGCCGCTAGATCCTCTTGAATCCCTCGAATGGCGGGCGCTAGATTCCTTTGAATCCCTTGAATGGCAGACTCCAGACACCTCTGAGTCCCTCTGATGGCGGGTGCCAGACATCTCAGAAATTCGTGAATGGCAGGCGCCGGGCACATCTGAAATCCTCGAAATGCAAGAGCCACCACCTGAGTCCCTCAAAAGGCCAGAGCCACCACCTGAGTCCGACGAAAGCCCAGAGCCATCACTTGAGTCCCAGGAAAGGCTAGAGCCATCACCTGAGTCCCACGTAAGGCCAAAGCCGTCACCTGATTCCCACGAAAGGCCAGAGCCATCACCTGAGTCCTACAAAAGGCCAGAGCCATCACCTGTGTCTCACGAAAAGCCTGAGCTGTCACGAAAGGTTAGAGCAGTCACTTGATTCCCACGAAAGGCCAGGGCAGTCACCTGAGTCCCACAAAAGGCCAAAGCCGTCACCTGAGTTTCACAAAGGACCAGAATTACTACCTGAGTTCCACGAATGGCCGCCAGAGCCATGTGACCTCCCAGAGCTGTGTGACTTCCTAAAGCCGCCTAAACCGTATAAACCTTTAGTGCTTCCTGAACCTAAACTCCCTGATCCACTTGGGTTGTACAAACTGCCAGTGACTCTTGAACCAAGGCTTCCTGATCCACTGGGCTTGTATGAACTGCCAGTGCCCCCTGAATCAAGACTTTCTGACCCATTGGAGTTAAAGGAACTACCAGTGTCTCCTGAACCCAAGCCTCCTGACCCACTGGAGTTAAAGGAACTGCCAGCGTCTCCTAAACCCAAGCCTCCTGGCCCACTGGGGTTGAATACACTGCCAGTGTCCCCTGACCCAAAGCCCCCTGACCCACAGGGGTTGAATGAACAGCCAGTGCATCTTGAAACCAAGCCTCCTGACCCAATGGGGTTTATTGAACTGCCAGTACTTCCTGAACGTAGGCCTCCTGAACCACTGTATGTTTATGACACGTCTATGCTTGCTGAACCAAAACTTCCAGACATACACAAGCTTCACTATTCAGGCCTTCTACAGCTCCACTCTCCAGGCCCTCCACAGCTCCACTCTCCAGGCCCTCTGCAGCTCCACTCTCTAGGCCCTCCACAGCCTCACTCTCCAGGCGCTCCGCAGCTACAGGCCCTCCTCAGCTCCATGCTCCAGGCCTTTTGTAGCTCCACTCTCCAGGCCTTCTGCAGTTCCTCGCTACAGACCTTCCCTAACTCCACAATCCAGATATTCTGCGGCTCCACACTCCAGGTCCTCCGCAACTCCACAATTCAGACCTTCTGCAGCTCCCTGCTCCAGGACCTCCTCAGCTCCATGCTCCAGATACACCTCCACTGCATGGTCCTGGCCCTCCATCCCTCCCCCTGTTCCGCCTCCGCTCCACCTCCCGCCTGAACTGTATTAGGAGCGTCTGGAAGCCGCTCCTTAGAGGGGTGGCTCTGTCACAATTACCAGTGATGTTTAGTCCTTGGATCGCTGGAAAACATGCACTATCACTAATGGACTAGAAACCAACCATTCCATGGACTACAACTTCATACATGCACTCCGCTCACACACACATGTTCTGCATCCTGACTGATTGCACACACACCACCGGAGGATTGCTATTTAAGCAGCGCATACACTCACTGCAGTCGCCGAGTCTTGTTTACATCCTGTGACATTACAAGCCGTTTCCTTTGTCTTGTTTTTTCGTGTTTTTAACCCTCGCCTTGTTATTCGGATTATCCCTGCTTGCTGCCAGCCTTGTGACCATCTGCCTGTTATTGTGACGACAATGGACCCTCTGCTAAGCCCTCCTTAGTTACTGTTGCTACGCCTGTCAAGCTTTTGTGCCTGGCACTTCTTTTTCAATGTGTGTGCGCCAGTTTCAGACATTGCCAGGGATCTAATGTAATTTTTGGAGAACAGGTGAGATGTCCGAGAAAGCCAGACAAAAAAAGACTGCAGTAGTCATTACAGGGGTATATTCACCACATAATGGGCAACCGATTAAAGAATAAATCAATCAAAATTAAAGCTAGCTTAGCCTAGCCGCCTCATACGCTAACCATTCAACAGCTTAGCTCATGCTCAGCAGGAGAGGTGAAATTTAAAAATAATCTAATAATAATAAATGAAACCATGATTTCTCTATTTTTAGCTAAAAAGCCTGACAGTGCTTTTACATAGTTCATTCATAGAAAGAACAGTCAGAAAGGGAAACTGATGGATTTGTGCCGAATATTAGCATCATTGACCCCTAACAATGTACAGTAAGTTACCTATTACTGTCAGTATGTTTGTGGGCTCTTTATAAATGACTGGAAAACAGCTAGGGGTAAAGTATATTGATCGCAGCTGCTCAGTTTGTGATCACATCTCGGTTTTGTTCTGTTAATTTGTAATTTCAAATATTCGTAGCTTGAAATAGATGTAAATATCAAGTTCAGTAAAGTTAGCAGCAGATTCGTATTTTCCGGATCAATGACTCATGTCATTATGATCTATTCGCTATTAGTATGAATAACATGACTAACTTTATAGCAAAGGCTTAAATGGACCATTACTCATAATATCAAGCAAAAAGAGGAATAAGTCTGCTGTGAAACATTACCAGCTTTGTATTTTTGTCGCCTGTCTATCACTGATTGTGTCAGGAATATCAAAACAAAACCAACTTAGCTCCGCTCCTTTAGCGCCCCTCACACAGTTTGATCCATGCTGGCATTTTTCCTCTTGGGGTTTATGTTTTGAAAAGGGAATATTTACACCATCCCATCCAAACTTTTAAGGAGACTGGGTATCAGATTTGCACAATCCATATGTACTAACTCAAAAGCTTGACAGAGCCCCTGCGCGTAGCTACAGTTGCTAAGCCACGATTGGTGGATGGTGGTTTTTGGGCGTGGCTTAGCAAAGGGTCAATTCTGGATTGCCTTCATACATCTGTTTGCTCCCGTGTTGACCATTGCTTGCCTGACCATTCTAATAAACCTGCATGTGGATCTGAACTCTGTTGTCAGTGTCACATCCCATGGTTACAGTTTAGTTCATGTATTTGTGGTGAAGATTATTCAAGGCTTTCTGAAATGATGAGTCTCACACAAATGCGTTTGCAGTATACAAACACACACACACACACACACACATATATATATATATATATATATATATATATATATATATATATATATATATATATATATATATATATATATATATATGTATGTGTGTGTGTGTGTGTGTGTGTATAGCGATTTTTAAACACATTTTAAACTTTTAAAAAAATCCCAGAGTTGGAACAGATATTTTAATCCCAGTTTATTTACAAAAAAAGTTTTGAGAACGTGTATGCATGTTATTATAAAAACAATGCGCCTGTCAGTTCGGTCTGTGGGTGAAACTGCACTCATTTGTCATGTTGCGTTGGGCCTAAAAAAACAGCAACTGGGATTTGGATCCTGTTTTATCATGATAATAAGCAGTCCAAATTTCAAACATAGTTTAAAAAGGCATGCATTTGCTAAAATATTTGATTTAAGACACATTTTGGCTTAACAATAGATTCTGTAAAAGTAAGAGAATATTTTTTTAGAAGAAACCTGAATCCATAGTAAAACAAAAATAATGATTGTAATATGATTAAAATTATATCTTATGATATTGACCTTCCTTGACTTTATTACTTGTACTTGACAGGTTTCACTGATTACTAGTCCAAATTCTGTTTTTGAGTTGGTTACTATCAAAGATGAACTTTTTTTCTGTTGCTATTGGAAGCTATAATCTGAAAATATGTATTAATTAATAAATACAATATTGATCAGTTATATAAATATTACTAAGCCATTTCATTAACTGAGGAAAAGTCACAGATCACAAAGCAAACACTTCTTTATTTATTTATTTTTTCAGCAGCACCACATAGAAAAGAAAGAATGCCAAATGAATACAGAGATCAATATTTTAAGTAAAAGGTGACATGTGCTTTGCCGGACATCAGTAGCATTTTTTTTATTTATACAATTGTAAGCTCAACACTAATAACATCAGTGACTAGGAATGGTGCATGACGGTACACGACAAATCATTTACAAAAAAAAAGCATGCGGGTAAAATTAGTCTCAGCAGTGATGAAAGGAAATGACAAGAGTACGATGCTACAGAATACCATTCGAGGCTAGAAAAAACCTCTGAAATATAACAGGAAAACTTCTAATTTAGAAAAACATTCTTGTCCCTGACATATGAGACCACTTTTGCCGCTTTGAAAAATCCTGATCTCAGTGATGTACAATCTTCAAACATAATTGAAAGCAGCTCCTTTTCTTATTTAAGGGCTCTTTTAACTCCATTAGTTGGCTTTACTGCGGGTTTCTGACAACCTGGCAAAGGTTCGAGGACTGATATGGGCAATGTAATCCGTCTGGAATCGAGAATTCGGTGTGCGTCGTCTTTTCCTTTCACCTTGTGTGGTGAAGAATGCATCCTGGAAACGCATGCTGGATGCCGTGGACTGCAAAGCAAATACACAAATATGTCAATACAGCATTCATGAACATGGTCAAACCTTTAACGACCACTTGTTCATTTTCAACCAGAGATAACATGATTTACTGCAGTTCACACAATGTCCACCGGTGTCGTCAATAACAATCATTTCTTAGGCCCAGTCACATTTGGCATTAAGATGGGTATTTGTAACAGCACTGATGTGCTCACGGCAATCTGAGTTTGATTCCGGCTCAAGGTCATTTGCCGTTCATTTCCCTCTCTCTGCTCCCCATGCATTCATGTCTCCACACAGTTCATTAATTCATTTATTAATTTTTCTTCAGCTTAGTCCCTTATTTACGCTGTATGACTGCAGATTAACCAACACGTCTCAATAAAGGAATTCTGCTTGTTCCGAGTCTCCTGGACTGGGTTCTTCTCTTCTTTTCACTCATTTATTTTTTTACAACATGACCATACCTGAAACACTCCCCGGGAGTCTCCCGTATTTCAGACCAATCTCCCACAACCGTCCCGTTTAAAAAAAATTTCGGAAAGCTCCCTTAATTCCCCCGTACAGTCTGTAAACACCACAAGGTCGCCAACTTTGGTACAGTACCTGATCGCAGCGGCCGCCCAAAACCCGCTGCATCCCAGCTCTCAACAATGTTATTGAGAGACCCCACCCCCGAACACCTCCTCACCTTCACTTAACCCCAAATCTACAATGTGGGGTTTAATAATTCAATTTGCATAACTGTTTGTTTGCTGAAGCTGTTCCAGGGCAACACATACAAAATTACCACTAGATGTCACTGTAGAAGAAGGTATCTAAAATTTTTCGAAGCTTCGACACATTTGTTTCGACTGATGTTTGAGTTATTTAATGTAATATACAGTGACGCTGTTGACAGAAGAATAAACCACTAGATGTGGGATGCAACCTGTGTGAGCCTTGATTGATTTTTCTGCTGCTACATTGAGTTAGGCGAGCTCTCCTGTAATTTTTTAACTCAACACATTACAAAACGTCTTTCACATATATTCGAAATGTGCATGTGTAAGTAATATGAATCGCTCACATATCTTTTACGAGTTCTTTATCTGAGATGAAAAATGCATGCAATAGCTGCCTATAGAAAGACGAGACGCTGTACACGCTGGTAAAGTATGTGTGTGTGTGTGTGTGTGTGTGTGTGTGTTGACAGCGGTTTGACTGATAAATATGAATTTGTAGGTAAATCGTTAGCGGTGTTAAACAGCATTTCCCATTGTTTAACATTACATCTTTGCTACAGAATACCATTAACGCTAGACACTGTACATGTCATGATCAATTTTAACAAAGAAAAACACTTACAGGTTGTGGCTCAGAGTTCACAACTTCTGCTTGTTGGAGCTGCTCCTTCTTTGAGAAGATTTTAACCAAATCCAGCACTGAACTGGGAGAGATTGTGGAAGCTGTGTTTTGTCAAATCATGCTTGCAATGTAGTTTATAATTCTCTGGAACATATTTAATATTGAACTGTAAGCACTTCTGTCTTTGTGTCGTGTCTTTTGGAAGCCCAAATACAGAAACAGAAGAAGCTCTGTGGAAATAGCAGCGTTTCGACTGTGTTTTAGCTTTCGCTGCTGTAACATTACAGTGCCTCTGGCCACGCCCCTGAGCTGCGCAGTGGGTGTACGCGGTAAAAGTATGTTTGTGATCTCACTGGCCCGGAAGTATTTTTTTGTAGTCCCCAAAGTTTGTTCATTGTAGACTTTGCTAAGCTAACTCTGTAAAAGGCAAGGTCTCCCTTTGCATTGAACTTTGAGCTTTTTACATTCAGAGATGCTGTTTATGTTCACACAGCTACATTACACATCAACTAAAGTTCAAAATATGATATTGTAGTGGACCACGCCTTTAATATCAGGTGTTAACAGGGCCTAAATTACACAAATACAGATTAATCAAACTTTATGAACAGTCAACTCTTTACTGAAATTTATCAAGGTCACTTAGTTCTATTTTAAGTTGTTCTAACAGGAGTAAATGAGCAGTTTTTAAACATACTTCACAAGTCACATAAATTCTGAAGAACAGTATAAAAACTTTTAGAATAAAAATATTAAAATATTAGAAGAAGAACGCTGATCAGATTTAGCACTTTCACATACCTCCAAGTTATTGGCGTTAATCTGGCATAGCGTGGTAAATTGAAAACTTTAAGGTGTGTTTCTCCAATCACCACGCTCACACCTTTATGTGAAAACTCACCAAACGACCTTTGACTTTTTTGGGCAGGTCTTCATTGAGTGTGTAAATGTCCTCTCGCTTTGCCAATACTTGGGATCCATCTTCAAACTCCACCTACAATCAAAAACAAAACAGAACTCAGCTTAAGGGATTGATTACTCAAGTAATAGCAGAGCAGCAGTACTTGATGTGACTGTTAGAGAATGTACCTGATACATATATGAAGTGTTCGAGCCAAGATATTTGGCTCCATATAAAAGTCCATCAGGCCACTTCACCTGAACTGTCTCCCCAACTTCAGGAGGGCCAAGCAAAGCACAGTCTCTGCTCTGTAGAGCGAAAGAGAAGAGATGCTCATTCACTGAAAACAAACAACTGGATCCTAATCCTAAATAATGTCTAAAGCCCTGGTCAGATCACACAATTTTGTCAAGATTTCGGCAACATTTCCTTAATGTAGGATGTCGTGGGGAGTCATAAACGACAAATGGGCATCGTGACACAAGACTTCCACTCCCCAGCGGGCTACATCCAAGCTTCAAGTGAGTGAAGCACTCCATTCTCCTGGATGGTCGCCCTCTCACTCGATGACACCAAGGACCAGATGTCCATCGCTGCATCAGAGGGTGAGCTGTTATTTTCTGACGAGGATCTAGACCGCTCCCTCCTTCCGGAGTGATGAGCGAGGCATCGTATCTAGAGGCAGATATGATGGTCGTGCTTTCCTGGGCTGCTTCGGCTGTGGGTCTGGAGATGTTTTATCCCCCATCCCCATGGCCGGACTGACTAGATGGGTGCTAGGTGGAGGTTTAGAAGAAGGCCAAGCCTTCTAAATCATTCGTTACCTTCTTCCTGGAAGTGCACAGTGAGCTCATACTTCTTGGAGGGGACCTTTCTCTGCCAGATCCGTGTGCGCTTCCACTTTCACCACCGTTGACGGTAAAGCAGCCAGGGGGTACGAGGCAGTTCTCCAGGTTGAACATGCCATTGCGATCAATCTTTGCCCGCATGGTGCCTCTTCCTGGCACAATCAGCATAGTCTTACGTCCAAGGCGTGTAGGTTATCTGTGTTCCTTCGGGGTAAGAGCCTACACCGCCACGGGCCAGGCTGGTTCTGGCCAGTACGCAATGGCCATGTATTAGCGCTACCAAGCACAGGTATTGGCCAAGCTGCACAAAGGTTCCAACCCAGGCCTGATGCATGAGCTCCACACCGCAAACTACTATGCTCTGCGTATCACCAAGTCGGCCACACACTAGGGGTCCAGGAACACCACTTCTGGCTAAACCTGGCTGATATGCATGATGTTGACAAAGTTCGCTTTCTTAATGCATCCATATCCCATGCTGGCCTGTTTGACGACACCGTTGGTGAATTCACCCAGGAAGTCACTGCGGTGAAAGAGCAGTCAAATGCGATGGGTGAAGTCATCTATCGACATGTTCGTAAGACCGTTCCCACCATCCACCTTGACTGCTACTTGTCAAGGGTGCCTGCCTGCAGCTTCAAGACCAGCTCCACTGCCCCCACCTGCTCCTCCGGCTAAGCGGCAGTATCTAGCACCCCGCAGACATTCAGTGCCCCCATCCCAGGGTGCCATTAAGTCTGGTAAACAGACCGCAAAGCGTCCCTGAGTTGGGCCATCCGGAGAAGAGGGGACTTGCTCTTTCTCCAGTGGAGGGCTGGGCATTGCAGAAATCTGTAGAGATGCGGGCTGGGTGACACCTAATAATTTAGCGAGATTTTATAATCTTCGAGTAGAGCCGATTTACTCAAGTGTGCTGTATAACTCCAGTGAATGAGTAAATTCGGTTTGGTGTTGTAACATGCTTGCTACACCTTTCTCTCTAACAGAGATACGTGGGCCCTTTTCACTTTTTCCAGTTGAGTTCCCCATTTGTTGAACCCTACAGAGTTCCTCTGAAGCCCCCAGTACCTGTCTCAGTGAAGGAGTTGGGTGCCTGGCCTATTCCGTTGTTGGCATGCCAGCTCGGTCAGCCCGCATTCCGGGTATAGGTAATGTAATGTGTTTATCCTGCGCATTATACTGTGTATGGCCATATATATAAGGATGATTGGGAGTCCATCGTAAGGGCCGCTTGAGGGACTTTGGCCAGGACACTGGGGTTACACCCCTACTCTTTACGCTCACTGATAGTATAGTGTCCCCTTTATTTTACTGGGGCGTTAGGACTCACACAGATTGCGCGCCTCATGCTAGCCCCTCTAACACCACTTCCAACAGCAACCGAGTTTTCCCTTGTGGTCTCCCATCCAAGTACTGACCAGGCTCAGCCCTGTGAGTAACCGGTCTTGGGCTGCAGGGTGATATGGCTGCTTTGCGCGATCCCATATGCTTTACTCTGTATGCCATGGTACAGTTCCCCCCTCTTCAGGTGGGCCTGTGTCATCCCTCCCCGCTAAGCATCATTCCTATTTGTACTCCCTCATCTCAGGGTTACTCCATATGTCTTTATGCAACCAGGTCTCCCCATTTGGGCAGCTGGTGGCATCAGCAGCATCCTCCCCTTTTGGGACTGGCATGCTTTCCCAACGTACTGTCGTGTTTTAAAATTCATAGAACTTAACTAGGTGTATTTTTTAGAATCTGGCAAAATATATAAATAAGCCTTTAAGCACTTCACAGGTAAGTAAGGTAAGTTAGGGCCAGGAGACACGTTGGAGGGCTGCATCCCTGGTGATGATGGTGTGCTCATGCTGGAGCCTGGCAAATCTCTCACCAGCAACATGGTAAGGTTCAGTCACTGTGGCGTTCTCCATACATTTGCCCATAATGGAAGTTTTTTCACATAGCATTGAAGTTCCTCTCCCACTGGGGAACAAAACAGTTACTACGTAACCCTCGTTCACCAAGGGGGAAATGGAAATGCTATGCTATTTTGCCACAGTGGTTGCGCCTCAGCTGACAGCTGTAGTTCCGCTCTTCAGCTAAAAAAGAAACTTAGCGTTGCATGGCTGGTATCTTTATACAGAACTTAATTACAATCAGCTTTGCTGCCAGCTGCGTATGCTGATACCACCAATTTATTAGCATTTCATTTCCGTTTTATTATTCTTCAGATGATTAGCTTTCTAGCAAAAATCCCCATAGTAAACATTTTTTCCACATAACATTTACGTTCCCCGTCTCGGGGACATTGTAAACCTTTTGTTTCTCTAAAACTGTGAATATTTCACTTTAATTTTATTTAGGTTAGATTTTATTTTATTTAACTAACCAGTTTGTGCTTTGGCACTGAAGTATATAGCAGACTGATTTTAAAGCACTTTACCTCAACTTGGACTTGTTATGCTTGTTTATCTAGTAGATAACTGGCCAATAAAGAAACAAATTATACCAAACAAAAAAGAAAAATATATGAGTTATTTTGTTTTGTTTGTGCCCATCCACTATTCAACTGTGTGGGTTGATGATTTGTTAAGCTCTGTGGAAAATAAGAATTAAGTTAAAGCTTCACTTTGATTATTGTATCACAAATCTCTGTCATATACTTGCTTTTTTTTTAATATGACAATATTTTGTCTTAAGCATCTGATTTTTTCTTGCTGCTGATGTGCTTTCATTTTCTCTATCTCACTCGCAGGAAGTTCAGGCAAGAGACTGTTTAATAAGCAATCATGGCAGGAAAATATACATTTATTCATTTTTTTTTCGGCTTAGTCCCTTTATTAATCCGGGGTTGCCACAGCGGAATGAACCGCCAACTTATCCAGCACATGTTTTACACAGCGGATGCCCTTCCAGCTGCAACCCATCTCTGGGAAACATCCATACACTCTCAATTACACTCATACACTATGGACAATTTAGCTTACCCAATTCACCTGTACCGCATGTCTTTGGACTGTGGGGGAAACTGGAGCACCCGGAGGAACCCACGCCAATGCGGGGAGAACATGCAAACTCCACACAGAATTGCTAACTGAGCCAGTCGAGGCTTGATCCAGCAACCTTCTTGCTGTGAGGCAACACCACTACCTACTGCGCCACCGCATCACCAATACACATTTAGATTTAAAAGAAAATAACCTAATAGTAAAAAGGAATATACGTTTGATTCTATTAATGTCATAAAAAATGCCCTTAAATAATGTAGCCTAGTTGTCAGTAAGCATTATGAGATTGACATAAGATTAAAAAAAAACATTAAAATTAAGATAAGAAACTGTTATAGCAACACCTGTGACTGCTTTGGGAAATAACAATCATCGTAGACATCCGGGGATGACAGATCGTGAAGGAACGTGTAGTCTAAAACATTTGTTACCCAGGACTAGTCAAGATTTTATCAAGAAAAAAAATCACATTATCTGACATAGCAACTTTCGGAACCGACAATAACATGTTATCTGACTGGGGATTAATAGAGATAGACCCACCACAATGTCTTCAGGGAATGTATCATTGCTGAAGGAGCCGTCATCGAACATGACCTCGTAAAATGTCTGGGCCGTGACCTGAGTAATACGTGAGCTGTAGTACCGGAGGTTTTTGTGTTTGGAGATCACCGTCTGGCCCACTTCTAATTCGCTTTTGCTAACTTTTACTTTCTGTGGGGAGAAAAGAAAAACTTTTCAACATTAATGGATCAATTGTGTGACACATTTAATGACTAAAAACCATAAAGCATCTTTAAAATACAAAAAAAAAAACACAGGGTTTCTTGATATATACTGTATATCAATGCCTAATATCAGAGATGGCCAGAAGGTGAAGTAATCTTTTATAAATTGTTAAAATATTGGTGTCTGTAATGCAGCAAGTCCAGAGATTTTATATAAAATTCACTTTAATGTGTGATTTGACTAAAAAGTGGTCATAAACTAGTATTTTCTCAATTAAAATGAATAACAATTAGGACCCAGTAACAGTATTCCATATGTCATGACCTAACAAGTAGAAACCTATACAGGGCTATACCCTAAATTCAAACATTGAAATGACCATATGTGAGATGGGGTGGATGAAGCCGAGTTTCAGCAGACTCAGATGCAAATGCAGCAGGAATTAGTTTTTCCCGCATTCCCACCTGCTGGGTTGTTAAGTCACCAGTCTCTGTTTTCAGCTCATGTTTTGAATTGTCAAAGATATCAAAATATTTGCAATATTTCAACTCTTACAGTTTTATATTCACACATTCATTCAGTGACAACTTGTGACACACTCCCTATATTGTTTACCACGACACTTTGAATATTCGGTCTAAAATAACCTGCAAGTGTGACTTGAAAACAACATTAACACTGTTTATTTGACTGTGAAGAATGTTGTACTTTGATAGTCATTGGCTGCTAATGTGATTTCATTGTTTAGAGTTTGCATATATACTTTTATGAAATTATATTATTAAGGAGAAAGTCTGAATGTGCGAATATAAAACCAACTTTACCTCTATGTGTAAGTTTACATTATTACCCTGCTATACATGTGCGGTTCACTGTCAGAATGCAGTCGCTTTGCTTGTTAATGATTAATTACCCAGGCCTTGTACAGTTCCGTCTTCTTTCCTTGTCTTTGGCTAGGCAGAACCTCGGTTTTTAGCACTACATAGTGTAGAATCAGGTAATCATGGAACATTATTTCTTGCACGTGACCACACAAAACAACATTGTTGGCATCCAAAGACTTGTAGGCTTTTAACTTCAATGCTTCAATGAGATTGTATATTTCGGGCTGGATGCTTGGTCATTTCATCTTATCCAATATCTATTGCAGGGGTCACCAACCCTGTTCCTGGAGAGCTACCTTCCTGCAGATTTCAGTTGCAACCCTGACCAAACACACCTATTTGTAATTATCAAGTGCTGCTTTAGGCACTATTAATTGGTTCAGGTGTGTTTGATTAGGGTTGGGACTGAATTCTGCAGGAAGGTAGCTCTCCAGGAACAGGGTTGGTTACCCATGATCTATTGGGAGGGTGCTATCGCAAATGGACCTGTCAGATGAACGCCACTCACTTTAACGTTAATTTTGCAGATTCACTGTGATTATCACTGGGTGAAAAGCTGTAATAATACGCTGAAAGCATTATGTAAATAATATATATAATATGTAATCAATATAACTTTTTCTGAGACAACAACAAACTCTGTACCGCATCAGATGTCATTCCTTTGCTAGCGCTCCCTGTTTTTTTAAGTAGTTGAAGTTCTTTTTGCAAAAATACCTCAGCAATATATCCCCAGCCTTGTACTGTGTTCCCATAATTTTTCTGAGAAGTGCTTCAGCAATCCACATGCTTACAACAGGGGATTCATCAGCCATTTGTTAAAGGAAAGATCAGAAATGACTATTGATGTATGGGACTTTGTCAGAGCTTGACAGGAACTTAACAGTACACAGTTCATGGATTAGGTTCTTCCTCCATTTCACAAGTGTAAGTAACAAGTGCGATTAACATGGTTGCCTCCTTGTTTCTCTAGTTTGCAGATGATGTATTTAATTGTATTTTGTTACTTTTAACCGCTTGTATTGTATCTGGTAAACTCTTTATACTCTCTTATCACGTCTAAAGCCACGTTGAAAACGTGATGCATGCCGCTTTGTTTAAGGAGTTAAATGCGTTTATGAGCTTGCGGTCCACTGCCGTTTGTCATTGCTACAGCCATCGTCAGCTGTTCATACACACATGCAGTGGTCAAGTTTCAAAATAGTTCAGCTTTTGCCACTGTGTGGATACAGTAAATACTGAATGAGTGCCATGGGTAAGAATATGCTGGTGTTAAACTGCATTGTTTTAATACACTCCTGAATTGGGCTCGCACACATACTCTGCACTCTGACTACTTGTTGATCTCATGCTGAATGCAGTCGACCAATCACAACAGACTGGGTCATCGGACCAATCAGCACAGATTAGCATCGCGCCAAAGAGAGGTTTGCGAACAAATTAATCCCTGAATGAATCATATGGGAGTTGTTGGGATAATTATGTAAAAATAAATGCATATTATAAGACAATGAAAATGTTTTTTGACCTTGCATGCATATCAGACCTTTGTTTGAGAACCCCAAAACCAAAATATTACCCTTTTTTATGCATAATAGGGGCTCTTTAAAAGATTTATTGAGATCAATTGTTGGCGAATGTATGAGTGTTGGCCTGAATGGGTAGCTTTACATAAACAATGTCAATATTTCAGTGTATTTAAGACTTTATAAGGGCTAAAATTTAGATTTTGATATTGAAGACTTTTTAAGACCTCACAGATATCCTGCATCAAATATTGTCAACAGAAGCTCTACCAAACTTGATGCAAGACCAAAAGTCAATAACAGAACAAGTATTCTGGTGTACATACAGCACATTATCATATTGTCAGAAAATTGGCTAATTCGTTTGATTTCATTTGTCCAAACATGTACGATTTGAAAAGAAGGCGTGACCCCAAACCCCACCCTTAAACCCAATTGTCAATTAGGGATGAGCAAATTCAACTAAAATGTACAAAAGAGATCGTATGAATTCATACAAAATAGCCGCTACATCAAAATGTTATGACTTGCCGTGAAATTGCGTTGGATTTGCCAAGAACTTACAGCACTGGAGCTCCGTGACTGGTGTCTGTGACAGGTGATGAAGACCACATACGGCCAATCATCAGGCTCCATGGGCACTCCAGCTGCATGAGCACAGGTGACATGGAACGAGGTCGGGCAACGGCCACACGAGCACTGAATACAAGCTCCAGACAGCCGTTTTATCCTGTTACGGCAATAAATACACTTCTACAGAGAGAGAGAGAGAATGACGTGAGAGTAAAAATGTGTGCGCATGTGTTTGTGTTGGTTTTTACAAAGACAGATTTTTCTCTAATGACATAAGCTAGTAATGACATAAGCTCTGAGGACACACCTGAAGACATTCAAATTTTGTCACAGGTTTCCTGTGAGGGTTAGGATTAGGGGTGGGGTAGGACCCGTGCTTAATTTGAGCCGGATCTTGCCAGATCCTGTTCTGGAAAATGTCAGATATTCGTGTTTTGCATTCCGGTATTTATTTGAATTGATCTGGCATTAACTTGTGCATGGTTAATACCTGCATGTGTGCATGAAAGAGAGAAATGTAAATAAGTACAAATGAAGGCTGTGTGTGAATTGTGTGTGCACGCACACAACAGTAGTCACCATGCACAAGTTAAAGCAAAAGTCAAATTTAACTACTGGCCCGCAACAATATTTTCCACCAATCAGCTTACTTACGATTACAATCACTCTCAATGGTTGGTGATTGTTTCACGTGCAGTGAGCAGCAAACAATAAATCATGACATAATGGCCTGCCTAAATAATAGTTGTATTTTCAAAAAAGGCAAAGAAGCAGTTAAGCATATTTTCATAAAACCACAAGTAAGTCCAGCCTGATTTCACGAGGAATCGTAAGTATTTTACGTTTTGTCAGTTTAGTGGCTAATTCATACGAATTAGTATACGAGTTCAGTCGTACGAAAATGTACGATTTTAAAAAGAAGGCGTAGCACCCTCCCCTAACCCCATCCGGTGATGAGCAAATCATACTAAATTGTCTGAATTAAATCGTACGAATTCATCTGAATTAGCCACTAAATCATAAAGTTATGAATTACCGTGAGATTGCGTTGGTAAATCTGATAATAAACCTGATTAAAAGAGATCTCAGGAAGACGGAACTCTGCCCCTGGATCAGGATAGTGGGAGACAGAGTCAAAGCAATCTCAAGTCAGCCAGAAAACTTGACAGAAGAGGTAACTGTGTGCTCTTCTTGAAGATTAGATCGAGTGAGTCAATAATAATTTTTTTTCACTTAAAAATTGAACTGATTTTCAGTGGTGTTAGTAAACTGAATAGGGATGTTTCGTAGGATTTAAGTTTGTAGCTACACGTTTGTTTTCATCCATGACTGACCCATAACGTTATTTATTCATTTATCCATTCATTTTCTTTTCGACTTAGTTCCTTTTTTAAATCTGGGGTTGCCACATTGGAATAAACCGACAACTTATCCAGCCTGCTTTTACGCGGCAGATGCCCTTCCAGCCGCAAACCATCTCTGGGAAACATCCACACACACTTATTTACACTCATACACTACAGACAATTTTAGCTTACCCAATTTACCTGTACTGCATGTCTTTGGACTGTGGGGGAAATTGGAGCACCTGGAGGAAACCCACGAAAACGCGGCGAGAACATGCAATCTCCACACAGAAACGCCAACTGACCCAGCTGAGGCTCGAATCAGCGACCATCTTGCTGTGAGATGACAGCACTAATTACTGCGCCACTGCGTCACCCCATAATGTTATTAGGCAAAATAATAATTAAAGACCGTTTAGAACTGTTATGCTCTTTTTTGCGCTATCATCGTTTAATTATGTCATGTACTGGAAAAACTAAAACTGTGTGGTGGTTCCTGGTTTTGTTCCCGAAAATTATTTATTTACAAATGAAGTAATGGGGAAGACCATATAAGTGATTTTTACTTTATAAAATCCATTACACCTATGGAAAGTCCCTGTAAACCAGCAATACATACGTGTGTGTGTTACTCACAAGTTTATATCTCTGTACAGGTACGGCACTGATGTCAATAGGAGCTCTTTTCACCACATCAATGAACTTCACCTCAGGGAGCCCCACCGCACACATGACATGGACCCATCTACAGCATAATTCACGATTGATCCAGTTAAACATTCAACAACATTGATTGTGCTAAACATATTTGCTTATTACGTTCAGTGGAGATATTCGAGAACATATGTAATAAATCTGCCATTTTCTGCACTGTTTTGTATAAGTATTAATTAGAATTTGTCAGGAACTTGTGAAAAAGCAACCAAAATAACCAAAAATGGCAATCATATAAAGGATAAACCAATTTTCATCATCATTTAGGACAAAAATTGATATAATTGTAAAATTGATGAAAATCTTCAATACACAGTGATATATTATATTATATTATATTGGAGAATTAGATTCTGATAATTGAAATTTTAAGTAATGTAAATTAGGGACATTACCTGTCATCTGAGGTTCTTTTTAATGCACCTCCCCTCAGGTTGCACAAACAACATCCCTGATATAAAACAGAAACATGTATAAACACACACAAGCACAAAGTAAACCAGTAAACAGTAATAATCCTCTTCAAACAACAAGTAACAAGGTTCCCGCTTTTAGCCAATTGTCAAATTGCTTAACTTTTCCATGACTCTTACTAATTGACTAAAAAATATTTCCAGGATCTATTCAGCACATTTTGCAACAGGGAAGTACAGTAAGCTCTTTTCTGTGATTAAGTTGCCTATGGTTAACTTAAAAGATTAGGAGTGGTAAACACCAGTAAATGGTCAAACTATTTTCTCTACAAATCAGTGTGTATATGAGAATATATTGAAATTAAAATAATATAATAAGAAAAGACCAGTTCGTAGGTCTTCAGGTTTCAGTGGCTGCACTCATTTTCATGTGGAAAATAAAGTCAATGATGATAAGAAAAAACAGGCAGCTATTGTGTTGAGCACTCAATGGACAAAAAAGCCACAGACGGTATTTTAACAGGTACAGCTTGGTTACTGCATCTAATTGCAAGTATTTGCAGGTTGAAAAGTAAGAATAATGACATAATGGCAAAGAAAAATAGCCTAACCAAAACTACTAGACAACACATGTGAAACAACGTAATAGAAAACACAGTATGGTTCCACTTAAAACGACAAACAAGAATTCCTGCTTTTTCATTACTTAGGGGGAAGAAAATCCTGACTTCAATGTCTGAAGTAGACCTTTTATAAGTGAAATGAATTTTTTGAGTCTTGTAAAGTATGGTTTTACCCATACATAAAATTGGTTCTTTGATTTTAACCCTTGTGTATTGTTCCAATTGACTACCCTTTCATTATGTTGGTGGCTGTTTTTGCCCCATTGACCTTCATTATAATGATATTTTTTTTTAATTGTAAAGCCATGACAGCATATACTCATGCCTTTTTGGTTGTTCTTGGTTTTCCCTGTTGGGAAGAGGTAAAATGTATTATTATTTACTGTTTAATAGGACAAAAACAGCCACCAGCATAACAGAAGGGTAGTCAATTTGCCCACAGTGTATTGTTAATTTTTTCATACTCAAAATATGTGTCAAAATAAGATTTGTCACCAAAAATCATTCCATTAGCTGAAACAGAGAGAAAGTTAGGGCCAAAACAAATACTCAAAAACAACCCAGAGTGGATGAAAACATCTTCAACAGCACACAAGGCTTAACCGTGTAAGTATGAACACACAATTTTGGGCAACTATTGCTTCCATTACCCAGGGAGCAATCAAGAGCTAGATGCCTTGGCAGGGGCACCTCAGTTGGGTATCAAAGATGGAGAGAGTTCGATTTATTCACTCCACCCATTTTCAATTCCTTCCAGGAACGGGATTTAACCTGCAACCTTTCGATTACAAGTCCAACACCCTAACCATTAGGCCACAACTTGTCCATAACAGATAATCATAGACTATGGGCCAATTCCAAATGGCACCCTAAACTTGGCAGTCACTTTTTCCAAAAGATCCAAAGGTTGCCGGTTCGAGTCCCATCAGGGATTGTTGGAGCGGAGAGTGAATAAATATACACCTCAATACCACATCTGAGATGATTCCCTTGAGCAAGGCACCGAACCTCCAATAGCTCCCCAGGTGTGTGTTCACATGTGTAAATCGCTTTGGATAAAAGCATCTGCTAAATGCATAAATGTAAATGAGGCTCCAGTCCTTCTGAAAGCTAAATAGAAGAATAGGACATGGTATTGTGGACTTAATGGACACATGTGCCATTTGGGATTGGATCAATAGAGAGCGAATGAATGATTACTTACAGCTGCCAGATCTTCACTCACACACCGGTCACAAGTCCACACTGGGCCAACATCCTGAGCAGAAACACCATAGCAACCTGTAGACCAATCCAACTGTTACGTACTCAACTCTGCCAAGCAATTTTTGATAATGAATATTTCAGTTTATGTAAATATAATATGATGAATCAAATGTATCAAAGTATCACATCATTGAAAATAAGTAAATGTTTTTAAAAATGTAAATAAACATTTGCAGTACGTGAAATAAATGTTACAGTATATAAACATACAGTATGTGATATAAATTTTTTAATTATTTAAGACTTGCATGTTTTTTAAATCAGTAAGATTTAGTGTTTGTTCAGGAATTAATACAATAGAACTTGTTAACTAACAGCTTGTAAGTTATCTATTGGCTATTTATACGGTACAGTTATAAATAATTAACAAACTATTAACTTTTATTTAACAAGTCATTTGTAACTCATTAACTAAAAGTTTATAAATGATCTATTAACTAGTTATAACGGATAGTTATTCTAAAGTGTTACCCAATAATTTAGCAAAAGTGAATTAAAGTTGGAATCAAAATAAAGACTAAGGTATAGTAAAATAGAAAACAGTTTATGTTGTATTAATATTCAGCACTAGAGTTTTACTGTCTTAGCCCTCTTGTAAAGGGCACTCCTTGCAAAGAAATCATCTTATTTTTTTTTTTAGAAATGAATACTATAATACAGCAATAAATTAATCAACAGATAAAGTGTGCTGTTTTTATTTTAGTTTTCTAATGTTAAAGAACCCTAAAAATATGTCTTTTCATTACAAAATTATTAAGTAGCACAAGTAATTTAAGCATGAAAAAAAAAAAAAAAAAAATATATATATATATATATAAACAGCTATTTTAAATTGTATTGATATTTAGTAGTACAGTTTACTGTTACTTTGCTCAGTGTTTTTTTTTTTTTTTTTGCCAAAAATCAAAATCTCAATTAATTGTACATTTTAACTCATTAACGATTAGCGATTTTTTAATTATTTTTGCCCTCATCGTTCACTGACAAGTTTTATATGCCGTCTAAAGGCATCTCTAGCGCAGCTTCCAATTATTGTTGATGTAGTTCAAAGTAAAGCTCAAGAATGAGTCCATCATCCTACTTGACCAGAGATCCAATGTGGCTGCAGAAGTAGAATTCAGCCACAGTCTTAATCAGAGTTTGGTCATGTGACACGTAGGGAAAGTAATTGAAAAAATTGTACCGAGCCAGTTGGCATTTCTGTGTGGAGTTTGCATGTTCTCCCTCGTGTTCGTGTGAGCCGGCTCCGATTTCCTCCACAATATATGCCACAGGTGTCAAACTCAGTTCCAAAAGGGCCGGAGCTCTGCACAGTTTAGTTCCAACCCTAATTGAACACACCTGTTCAAACTAATTGAGTCCTTCAGGCTTGTTTGAAACCTACAGGTAAGTGTGTTGGAGCAGGGTTGGAACTAAACTGTGCAGGGCTTCGGCCCTCCTAGTATTGAGTTTGACACCCCTGATTTATGTGGTACAGGTGAATTAAATAAACTAAATTTGCCGTAGTGTATGTGTGTGAATGAGTGTATATTGATGTTTCCCAGTACTGGGTTGCAGCTGGAAGGGCATGTGCTGTGTAAAACATATGCTGGATAAGTTGGCGGTTAATTCCGCTTTGGTGACCCCTGATGAGTAAAGCCGAAGGAAAATTAATGAATAAATTAACAAGTTAATTGATTTACTGTAATTTATGAGCAAATAAATGCTATTTATTTTAAAGACCCTAAAAAATTTTTTATGATAGCATGATTAAATATTTAAAGGTATTTTGTGAAAGTATTTATGTGTTAAATGTGTTGAGTAATCTCAGTGACATACTGGCATGAACTTGAACACAGCAGCTGCTGCAGACCACAAGAGGGCTGGATCCATCTTCCTCCAGTAGTGTGTTCAACGGGCATGGACCCTCCTGGTACGCAAAGCAGATTTCAGGGATCAGAGGTCGTGATCTTGAGCCTGCGTCCAGGGAACATGACCCCATTGACACCTCAGGCCTTCTCTCCTCCAAGTTCTCAGGCTGTGAGAGAAACATATGAAAGACTTATAATATAGAAGAGCACATATGTAAAATCAGTTAACCTAGTGTCTGACTAAACAAGGTACCTGATGGTATGGCATGAAAAGTGTGCAGACAGCACAGTGTGGAGCGTTTTTTGCAGCGGTCATGTTGTATTCTCGTTCATACTGAAAATGGGCTTTTCTGTGTTGCCAGAGATGCACTAATGGTTTTGCCCATTCCTCAGTTTCTGGCTCATCTTCTTCACTCGCACACTCCTCTATAACCTCTATAACCACACACACACACACACACACACACAAATAAATATTTACTCTTTGGCTGTCAATGTAACATTTTAAAGGGAAAGTTCACACAAAAAAAAAAACAAAAAAAATCTGTCATCATTTACTCATTTTTCATTTGTTCTGATCCTCTTTGTGCTTGTTTCTTCTGATGAAGCGATTGACTTTCATAGTACTTTTTGTTCATAGGAAAGTCAATGGCTGTTTTTTTATGTTTTTTTATGAGGGGATGCAGACCTGGTGCAGTGCAATCTGAGCTGCATCCAATGCTTTTTAATGCGCTCACCTAACCCCACTTCTAACATGACCTACGTCACTAGCTCCATTGAGTACATCGTATGTGACATTGCATCACTGAGATATGCAGTTTCAGCTTGCATCATCAAGGCTGCATCCAGATACTGTTGCTTTTTTTCAACATTCTTCACTATGTATGGTTTATGTTCAACAGAAGAAAGAGATTCATTGAGGGTGAGCAAATGATCCGTACATTTTTACTATCCCTTCAAGTAATAATTATATATATATTTTTTTTTTAACTTGTCAGCTTTCTAAATCTGTAATTGTGCATGTTGAACCATTATAAAACAATAGCAAAAGACCATCAAAATCCATCAGTCTGAATGTGCACATAATTATTATTCAAAGGCTTTGTTTACGTCAAAAGAAAAATTCAGTCATCATTTACTCATTGACATATTCCAATCTCATGAGTTTATAAAATTGAGACCATTAGTCAATCCTGAAAGATTTCTGCTCCTCCATTGAAACTCTACTTATATGTAAAAAAAGATTAATAATAATAATTATAATAATATATATGACTCTATATCTATATATGTAAATGTTTATATGAATCAAACAGAATATTATGAATTATTCCGGTATTCTCATGACACAATTGCTTGGTTAGACAGAGATCTAAATTTGAGAAATTTATAAATTAGAATTTTAGTCACACATAAACATTCATCAGCAAACAATGTTAAAAAACAATAAGATTGATCATACGAAAGTATGATCAAAATAAGTACATGTGCAAGAACCAGAAATTATTTCAGAACACTTCAGATGTCTTTCAATTCATGTATATAAATTTTATGATCACTTAGTTTGAAAGAATAAGAGTTTTCTTTTAAGAGACTTTAAAAAGAAGTTACAAAAATCCCTCAGATTTCAATAAATAATATATTTGCATTCCAAAAGCCAACACATTTTTTTAAAGGTAAGCAATGAGAAGAGTAAATGGTGACAGAAGGTTTATTTTGATTTTTTAAATATACCACAGACAAAAATAATTAGTGTAATTTCGTTCCGTGACATCATTTGTTAAAGATGACATTGAAACATATTGAGGACACAGTTGCAATGGCACATACTATTTTAAAAAGCACATTGATAAAACCAACTGTGGAGTTTCATTCAATTCCTATCCTTAACTGCAGGTGTTTTCATGCTCATAATACAATGAAACATCCACCATCATCGCTGGCAGCCTGCTGTTTGACAGCACTGGGCACTGCTCTCGCTGTGGGTTTTCTGAGGGGGTGACGCCAACTCTTGGCAGTCTTCTTAACCGTTTGCATATGATACTGTCAGAGCAAACAAAAAAAAACAAAAAAAGTGAGAAAAACAGCACACTTTCCAAAAATGTTTCATTCTGTTCCTATACTTTTATTATGAGCGTATATAAATTATGTGTACATTTATTAAAACTTTGGCACCGTTTGTTCACAAGGCATGAAGGAGTGATCAGAATTGAAGTAAAAAAAAAATGGTTATGTTTATAGAAAATGTTTTCTCAAAAACGATTCACAACAGAGGCAAGTTAGTATACATTACCCTTCAAAAGCGATGTTGGCAAGAGTTTAATAGTTTTAATAATTACTTTAATTCAGCTGATGCATCCAATTGATTTAAAGTCAAACACAAACAAATGTCACATACAAATAAAATGTCAAATTAAACAAATGCTGTTTTTTTTTATTATTCTATTTAACAAAAATAAATAAATAAATAATAATAAAATCCCAAAACAATATTTAGCAAATAAGCATTCTAAAATCATTCATGTTCATGAGTAATCACTGCTGGAAAAAAAAAACAGCTTTGTCGTCATAACAATAAATTGTATTTAAAAATATATAAAACACAAGTACATATACAGCTAAATTTACAGTTTAATAGTAGAATACAATTAATAAAAATATTCCTGACCCCACATTTTTGTAAGTTGTAGAATATGTCCAAACTTGTCCACTCTTATTTAATTTGTACTACTACTTTTAATGATAATAATATATAATATATAAAAATAAACTCATGTCTTTAAGCCCAAAGTAAGACCAATCAAAACATATCTAGTTTTTAAAATACAAGTAAAAAGTTTGACCAGCAAAACTGTGGACAGGTTCATCCACATCCAAACAAAAAGCAAAAACAAAGCAAAAGGTCTGGTCCCACTTTATATTAGAAGTCCTTAAGTGTGGTATTCAGAGTCAACAGTGCAGTTACAGATGTATTTACAGAGCTTTATCTTCATATCTGTACATGTAGTTACACAATTAGTGCATTGTATCAAACAATGTAAAGTTAATGATACAGTGGGCAACTTTTAAAACAATGTTGCTTGGCAATTTCCCCCCTTGAGAATGGACAACAAGATCCTCCAATCAAAATACAAGCAGCCTATCCACAATGAACAACTTCCCAGCAAACAATTTTGTGTTTGATAGCTGTCTCATAGACATCTATTAGACATATTTTAAAAACAAATAATGCTTGCTGGGTTGCAGCTGTCAAAAAGTTACCTGTAAGTTGTCATGTGTCAACACAAAACAGGATTTTTATGTTATTTAATGCTTACAATGTCAAAAGCGGACCAATTTGAAGTTGCAGTAAGCAATTTAGGATCCACTTGTGTAGGTCTAATGCTTCGGTGTGTTTGTTCTCTGCCTCCTTGTCATGCATTCATTATATTAGCTTTATTAATAAGCAGGGGTGGTGGTGGTGGTTCGAATGGAAGGTATTGAAGAAATGTCCGTTGCGTTAAATAGTTGCCCTGTGTCTCACCTGGTTGCCCGTTGAGGTCAACATTGCCAGGAGTTGCCGAGCAACATTGCTTTTAAAGTTTCTCCCTGTATCATCACCTTAAAATTTAGTACAAGACACTTAATATAAAGTGGGTGCCAGTGTCTTGTCATAACGCTGGGCAGAACAGACGCCAAGAACAATACAGAACACAGAATGCATTGATTGTCACAGTGTATCACCAGAACTCACTGTACAGACTTCCCCTGGTTCCAGACCCGTTTCCACATACTCTGGATCACTCATGGGGTTCTCCTCACTGGATTCACTGCTGCTGTCAGCACCCTTATCTCCTGATTCACACGAATCGGAGTCGCTCACAGACCCATCGTGTTCTGATTTCACACTTCTGTAATACTCCTGAATTTTAAACTCTCTTTCCTGAGGTTCCTGAGAGCCCGCCTGCTCATTCAGCTCGCACGATTCAGCCGGTTCCACCTCCTCGTTCTCCTGCTTAAGATCTAAGGGTGCGTTTTCAGACACTTCTGTATCAGAACACTGCATGGGAATGGGCTCCAGGTTGGTCCAGGTCTGGGTGTGAGGTGAAGAGTTTGGAGAATCTGAGAACTTTTCTTGTTGGCACCCTGACTCTGACCACATGGTGTACGGTAACGAATCATGGGCATAGTCTGCGGTAAGACCTACTACCAACTCGGGCTGCAAACTCTCGATGAGCACCGCAGGGTTATCGGAGCTGAGGTTTTTCCAAATTGTGAAGGGTTTGGATTCTGCAAAGTTGCTCTGGGAGGACGTGAGAGAGCTGGACTGCTCTTCGATACATCGAGAAGTTTCTTTGCCCACTCCTTCAATCATTTTAGAGTCTATAAAATCCATGCGTGTTGTTGCAGAACTTTGCAAAATACTGCGAGTAGGGGTTGTACAGTTCGAAACGGATTCATGTTGAGTGGTCTGGTCTGTTGATGTGCATTTGTGTATATTTCCTTCTTGTTTGGACTCCTCTGGCGTCCCCCATTGTGGAGCAAAGGAAGCAGATGTTGGTTTTGCTTTGAAGCTGTCTGAGATTGACTTATGTGATTGGCTCACACCTTCTTTTGGTAAAATAAAGGGCCAATCCGGACAAACTCTTTCAGAACAACCTCTCACTTCATCCGTTATAACAGGAGGTGAGTGTGATTTTTCCAAATGGAGGATGGGTGCACTGTTGTAAGGTTGATGATTTGCGGAGTCCGGTCGGATAGCGAGAGTCAGCGAGGGCATTTCAGGTGCGAGACACTGAGGATTGACTCTCTCTTCAATGAGCTCGGGCATTAGAAGAGGCATTTCACAAAATGGCGTAGTTTGGATTTCAGAGTTTGTTCTATTCATGGAAGGTTCTGAACCCTGAAGAGCAGGGTCTAGACTGATTGAGCTTTGCTCCTTGTAAAGTGCTGACGTGCCGCAATCGATGCTGTCCTCGGTCAAGGTATCAATGACTGTCTCTTCCGTTTCAATTTTAGCTTGTTGGGAATCACTTTCCGAAAATAAAACTGTAGCACCAGTGGAGTGGAGTGTAAGTGAATGGGTCACAGGAATAGAAGGTGCAATGGTTTCTGAGACAGATTCACAGTTTAATGTTTGATTAGGATTCTCAGCAGTTCTTTCTGAGCCTAGAGTCACATCCACAATGATGTCACTCTCTGAGGTTGATTCAGGCTCAGACTGGGCGGTGGAGTTTGTGTTTTTGGATACTTGTCCTTCATCCAATATTAAAGACGTCTGGGAGCTTGTGTGGCCCGCATCAGGGTCATTTTGGCTGGATGTGGTGGTGAGAGTAGGGGTCAAGAGTCGCTCAGGGGAAGCTTCTTTGACTTGTCTTGTAGACTGTGCCAGCAAGTCGCTCTCCACTCTTGTTACTTTAACAACACACATTTGTCGACCAGCAAGCCCTAAAACAGATGAAAGATGTGTCAGGAAACAATAAAAAAGGTCTTCTGAGATAAAGCAGATGTCAAACACTATTCTTAAAGTCTGTGTGAAATGAAAACTTGAAATGCTTGTATTGCACATTGTTATTCTTTAGATGAACAATAAATCTGTGCAAGTTAATTCACTGAAAAGAAAAAAGTTTGTTTTGATAATCTTCAATCAAAGTATGACCATTTGCTACTGCATTTGCAGTGGCGGTCTCTCTCTGTTGACGTTCTGGAGCAAAAATACAATCACCAACTCAGCATTTATTAAATTTATCCTGTAATTGGGTAACCCAGAAATTTAGTAAAAATAAAACTGTAATATTCTGAAAAATTATTGTAATCTAAAGTTGTTTTTATTCCAACTTCTTTCCTTTTCATGGTAGCTACATTTGCATTAACCATAAAACATTCTAATCCATCAATTTCAATTAAATATTTTTTCTATAATTAATAATAATAATAATATAATAATAAATTATTTGAAAAAAATAGATCTTTTATAACATTATAGACCATTTCAATGTGATCATGCCATTGGCCCATGAACATTTCCTGGTTGTCATCAAACTATTTCATTACTGTAACAAGAGACAATTGAATGTGAATTTAATGATAAAACAGTTTCATAACATTATTTATCAATATGTGGCTCTTTTTGGATTCTCGGAAGCTATAGAAATTAAAACTGTAAAACAGGAAATACTTTGGGACCATTGTTTTCTTTACATGCTTCAAAATGGTCTATACATCTTTAGTGTTACATCTGACCTGAAAGTTTGATGTTAAGTCTCTTTTACATCACACATCAAAAATAAAATAAGTTTAACCACAACATCCCTAAGTACCAAAAACATAAAGGAACATTCTTGCCCTGTATCTGAAAATGTGAGGTCATTAAGACTTTCTGGCAAAATAAATGGCCTTAATTTGCTCAATTATTACAGAATGTATTAATGAAAATGTGCTTTGCTTTTATTTCCCGTAATTATTACCAGGTTGTCAAACTAAAATGACTGACATATGTCTTTTTACTGCAAGGCTTTTGATCACATTCTATTGGAAGAATATCAAAAGCCCATCCAATGAAAAATTTAGCACATGAAAGTATACTGGAAAGTATATCATATGGTCTAAAGAGCAAATTAAAGGACAATAAAGTTTGGAATCTGTTTTTACAGTTTCTGGAAACTAACCAAATATTGACACAAGGGGGTGCTAATAATTTTTTTAAATGTATAATTTCCTTTCCTTTTTACAACAAAAAAATGTTTTAAAAAAGAAATGGCATCTGTGTCTGAATGTTAGTGTTCAAACAAATGAGACTATATTTCATAATGAATGCTGCAGAAAATTAAAGTGCAAACTTATTTCGAAATAGGAGAAACAAATGCAAACATCTAAACAGTGTGCTTAATACATGTCAATCTAATCAAAATAATAATATACTAGCCTTTTAATTCACTTGAGTACTGTGATTCTTTCTGGTGTTTCACTGGGTCTTCCTCTTCCTCTTCCTTGTTTTTAGCAGTTAAGGCTGCTGATCTACTCCTTCGACCGCTTCCCTTTACCGGTGCAGAGTCCACCGTCTTCAGTCGTTTGGAGCATGAACGAGGCGCATGGAGACTGATTTAAAAAAAAAATTCAATTCAGTTTGTTAATAAACATGGTTTTGTGTCAAAATCATCTGCAGTGATTGGCTTCTGAATGAAAGATTTTTTAAATATTTGTGAAAGATATGATCAAAGAGAATCAATTACAACAAATGGTTTCATTTGATATGATTGAAAAATCAGGGTCAATACACTAAATAATCATTTTTTTGAATGTAAAACATTTTGTGCTTTTTCCCTTTTATTTTCTACTACATCTTACATCAAATTTAGAGTTTTTTTTAATGGGCTTTATAAATAAATTGTTTATATATCAATATAAATTACATCTGAAATCATTAACAATTTTCTTTCAACAATTAAACCAATGATGTTTACACAGTTTAAGCTTCTATCGCTTTTGTACTCTTGCACATCAAGCAGGTATGGAGTGTTCATATATGCGCGCTGATCAATATTTATATGTGAAGAAAAGGGTATCCATGTTGTCTCTTCAGAAAACTAGTATTAAACTGCTAATTTTTCTTTTATTAAAGAGACAGAAACATCAAATATTCAATTCAATTCAAGCTCATTTTGTACTGTATAGCGCTCTCCATAATAATGTTTGTCTTAAAGTAGCTTTACAAAAGGTGCACATTGTACAATTAAAATTAAAAAGGCAAGTTATTACTTCTCATAACCCTTTAGTTGCTAATTACTTTAATTAACTAGTAACTTATAGCTTTTAACAGTTATTATATATTTGCAAGTTATTATATAGGCAAAGTTAACCTGCAGCTATATAGTATATCTTCATGTGTTTTCCTATAACAGAATTTACATTTTTGGGTCAGCTCAACAATCCACCTTGATGATACCTGGTGGAGGGTGTTTTCCTTCGCCGTCTCTGAAGCCAGCTCTGCAGCTCTGGTGTAGTGCTTGGTGTAGGCAGAGTGTGATCCAGGGAGCATGAATCTTTGCCTTGCGTCCACATCTCGTATCGATCCGGCTGAAATCGTCTAACAAATGGATCCATGGAGATCTTCACCATATCCTTACTGCATGTACACTGCAAGGGGAAAGATGTCACACAAAAAGCCAAATGTTCACTAGCTGTAAGGTAACATGAAGATGTCAGAGGCCCTGTCTATGACTTGTTTATTCTATCATAAGTGGGCAATGCTAAATACAGATGTAAATAGAAGCTTGAAAATATTGAACTCATCCACTTTAAACCACTTGCAGAAACTCAATCATATTGGTTTTGTAGTGCAAAGATTCATTTGATTGAATGCAATAAAACAGCCACAAAAGACTGCCTTCTCTCTGCCTATTGACCAGGCACTTTAAAGTGTAGGATCTATGAATCCTTTTCAAAAGAAGATATATTTTCTTTAAAAAATCTAGATTCAAAAGAATTATGTACATTTAGAAAGCTATTCTTTGTATTATATCATTTTGCATCAAATTACAAATAAAACTAATTAGTTCCTAAAACAGCATATATAAGTGGGACAGTAAATTTGAAGTTGTTCTCTCTTTTGGCTGCCGTTATCATGTCTTACACTTTTATTTCCTTTTTTTAAAGTTGTGAAAACAGTGTTTTTGAGTAATTTGTTTTATTTAATTATATGATCAAATGGCAATACAAACATGTATTTGTGGTACTCTCCCATTCACTGCTCTCTAAGTTTACCCACATAAGACAACTTCTACAGCTGAGCAACCTGGAAATCTGAAAAGGGTCTATATGCTCACATTTAAGTTTTGTTGGCAAATAAAACGGTACTAGCAGAGAAAATCATGCTTTTTACGATTAGCATAGCCTCCTGCATAACTTTCAGAGCTAAAACATTTCCCATCATCTAATTTCAATCATATGCAAATTATTATCATATGTAAATTATTTCACAATTAAAAATAAATCAATTAAGATCTAAACAGCCACATACAGTACATACATCTTCCCCTCAAAGAAATCAGGGAAGTGTCAAAATGAAGACTAAAGGAAAGAAAGAGAGAGAGATGTAAATGTGAATACAGATAAATTTGTCGCCCTTGTGAATGTGCTTCTATGAGTTGTGGGATATCATTTCTGTCATTTTCGAAACGCATCACTATTCTCTTTTGAATTGATTCGGATTTTAGTGTTTAGCAGCATGTGCCGCGCCAATGCCCAAGTGAACCACGCTCAGGCCCACCTCCTCCAACCAGGCCAGGGCCGGCCAAGTGAATTGTGCTTGAGCCCGATTCAGCGCACTTACACTTCTCAAACAATCCGGGAAACGGGCCTGGGCACGGTACGGATGGCATAGTGTCAGTAGGCCCTAAGGGTGTGTGCTCAAAGTGATGACCTAGGGGATGGTGGACGATCATGAACTGAAGACCAGGGGTAATTTTTTATCCAAGAGAACAAAGGGCATGTGCTCTGCGCACGTTGAGTCCTACCTGTGCACGTGCCTGCATTCTACAGCCCATGAGGAAGAGCATTGGGCCATGGAAGTTGACTTTTGTAACTTTTTTAATGATTATTTTAGGTTGAATGGTATTCTTAAGAAGGGGCGCTTGTTTCTAAGGAATTGGATGCAATCAGAATACAGCTGTTCATACAGCACCATCTGCAGTTAAATACTAAGCTCTGAATCTATTCTTGTAAGAAATAGCGATGCATTTTCAAAATCTCACATGTGATTTCTCAAATGACTTTCCAGTGTCTAGATTTGTGATCCAAGTTACTAAAACACATCTAAATATCAGTTATAAATAGACCAGATGTTATATAGAGGATATTATGAAGTGCTTCTTAGTACCTGCGTAGCCAGTTTTCCATAATCTATCCACCGGATACTGGCGAAATTGGTGGATTCAGCACAGTTGAAGCCGTGGTTAAAGCCAGCGTGGTAACCATAAGGAAATGTGATCATAAACTCTCCCGCTTCCTGTGTTATCTGTAATTATATATCAGTTTATTGTCAATACACAGAAGGAAAAAAACTGAAACACTGCAACATCATTCTTCAAACTAAAATAGTTTGGAAAATTGATTCTAAAAAACTAGATTGCCTTATCAAATGGTATGCTGTATTTCTTGAGTACAGAGGGGGATATCAGTGTCATCTTGTGTCTCAGGAACGCCTCACAGCTTTTAAAGCTGTTTGGAAAGAAACCTAAGGACAAACACACATTCATCACAGCAAAGAAAATAATCATATGTACATTTAACTAGATGTTATAAACACAAGGGTGAGCAAAACGTTTCCCCTGTTCCTCTAAAACTTTTTACCTATAGCAAGCCGCTCAAGTCTCTTTCCATGTTCTGGAGGGATGGCATACCTGTAAATTGTTGTATGTATATATTCATTAAATAAAAAAATAAATAATTAAAACTACACGGATGCTCTCCACCAAATCCAAATCTATGCATACTGAATAAACAGAAAACCACAGCAAACCCTACCAGGATTTGGGTTCGCCAAAGTGCAGGTAGTTAATGCTGTAGAGGTCCATATCCTCTGTGTGCCAGGAAAAGCTGGTTTTCCACATCCCAAAGTAGAGATAGGGTGTGTTTACTCCCTGGATGGACACACCGCAGTCCTCCTCGATCACGTCCAAGACTGAATTCAAGTGGCCAATGTTCCACTCTTCAATGTCCTGAGATAAGAGAGATAAGAGAGGTAAGAGGCTCATCTCAACTATCATCAGTATCTAACACAAATAAAGGCCTGGGGCCTCATGTACGCCAGGTTTCACGCTCAGAATCGCTCATGTTTGGATTTACTAACAATGAACTGAACATGGGAATATGCTCAGCTCCACGCCAGCTTCTTGGCTGGCGTACGCACATTTTTGTGCGTGTCTGTTTTATTTCCATTGGCGACTCCTAGAGGCAGTTGTGTAAATTCCTCTCTACAAAGTGTCTGAGCCTTGCAATGGCAGCTGAATGAGACAGGTTCATCTAGCAGGTATATAAGGTTTCCATACCACACAGTTGACCAGCTAAACATTAAATCACAAATTGCAGCGGGCGCCTGTTTTCCCAATGTAATCTGAGCTATCTACTGCATGCACATTGCTATAAAGACACCATCTGAAGATGAATTTGCATGCGTGAATCAGAAACATTTCCATTCAAAAAAATGTGCAAATAAAATATGATGCACAAACTTATTAATGATTCCTACTTGTCTTTCTCGTGATAAATAGTTGGCAAAATCTGATATGTAGTGGGGGAAAAAAGAAAGAGTTCATCTGACGCTGGATTCGAACCGAGTTCATGCTCGAACATGTCAAAACATGATGACATGCGTCTTACGAGCTGCGCCACAGAGACTTTTAAGGTTATTGCAACATTTTACACCTATAAACCACACTATTTATTTTTTAATTCACTCAGTGCGATGTTCAGACCCAACTGTGTTAACCGCATCAGCTAAACTCTCCCACTCAATTTTTTTCTTTTGTTGTTAATTCCGGTCTACCTCGGTCTACCTACAATTCACATTCTGTTCAAAGTTTCTCTTCTTGCTTGCTTTTGCCTTTGCTTGGTTTTGCCAAAGTAGAGTCATTTGCATATTCATACGGGGGAGGAGGCAGGGAGGGGTTTTGTGCTCGTGCATGTTGTGCTCAGTTTAACGTTCATTCGGATGTACAAAAGAATATGCGTGAGATTCGGCGTACGCACTGTTTCATACATCTGAATTTTTTTCTGTGTACGCACATTTACAGCTTTGTGCGTACGCAATGTTTTAGTATGATTTCCACGCAAGTCTTCGTACATGAGGCCCCTGGTACCTCCAATGACTACAATGATAACAGTAAAGATAGAGTTAAAAAAATCATTCTAAATGTACAACAGCAGAGTCCACACCACAGAATGATAACTGCACAGAGATACAATATTAATTCTAATTTAAGTAATTTTACAATCAGTTTGGGGAAAAAAAATAAAAAGTCCATCCTGCATTAGAGAACTTGATCACTGGCATGGAGTCTAATTTAGATATTGTTAGAATTAACATTCTTGCAGTGAATAAGATTTAAAGTGCCAAGGTGCTACAGTGACTCATTTTGCAGTGAAAATGAATACAATACAATATTAATCTTAATCAAAGCAAGAGAATAACTAAATCAATTTAATAAACACACTCCTACTCAATATTAACATTAAATACTCATAAAAACAGAGCAACTATTATTATTGTTATTATTATCATCATCATCAGTGCTTCCCACAGGTTTGATTTATACTTGCGGTGGTAGCCGGATTGAAACACACTATTTAACCACATCCCATAAATAGTTAACTACATGCGACAAACAAAACTTTTTCAATTTTTAACAACAATTTTATTGGTGAGGCAGTCGCGCAGTAGGTAGTGCTGTTGCCTCACAGCAAGAAGGTTGCTGTTTCAAGCCTCAGCTGGGTCAGTTGGCGTTTCTGTGTGGAGTTTGCATGTTCTCTCTCTTTTTTTCAGATAGCTCTTTGTAAAATGAAAGTTTAATATCGCTTTGATTTATGTAGGCTATTGTATATTCCTAAATTGGTTTAGCTTTTGTTAGCTTTATATTGGTTTATTTATTTAATGCGATTTTATCACATCTGATATTTGTAATTCTTTAAATTATTTCAATATAGCTTAGGCTATTTTATGAAGATATGAAACTATTATTTTGAGCCTGCAAAAGTGGACATGAAATGTGTAAAATTTCATGTCATTCTGTTATATTTATATTGTGTATTATCTCCAAATCAAATAATAAAAAAGAAAAAAGCCACTCGTGGCATCAACAGAGCTGTGAAGGGAGCGCACTTTTCCCGTCTCACACACACATACAGACATCTAAATGCGCACAAACAAACCTTTTAAACTTGATATAAACTCTTGAAAACCTTTACTGTCTGCTGTGTCTTTAATATTGTGTAAAGTTTATTATGTGCTATTGTAACATCAAGGAAGACGCAGCAAGGAAAAGTCACTTATAAATTAAAACTTAATTATTTTATCCAACAGCCTTACATTTAAATGGGAAACATAAGGGCAATCATACGCAAAAAGACCCCAGCCTATAAGGCTAGAAGTTTTCTTTCCCTTATTTATTTATTTGTTTGGCCCATGTACTCGTGTGCGATCGGAAAACTGTGTCCGCACTCCGCCTCTCACTCTGCCCCGAAGCCCCAGCTGGCCCTTTTTGGCCCAAGGTATTCGGCGGGCCGAAAAAGGCTGGCCGCTGGCCCCAAGAAAGCCCCGATTTGGCCCGATTAGGCCCCGGAAGTGACTGTGGAAACGCGACTAATGAGAGAAGATTTTCCACTACTCAATGGATCGCAAATATTGGTCATATTAGTCAGATATAAAAAAAGTGTAAAAGGATGATAAAAATAGTAAAAAGAAAAAGTGTCACTAAATATACTTGGGCAGACTTTAGTACCTGGGAGGCCTGCCTAAGCAAGGTCTATGTGTGGGAAGCACTGATTATTATGGCAAATTACATAAAAAAATGGAATGAGACCTTAAAATGTTTTTTGAATGAATAAACAAAGTATTTTGTTTAATTCTAAAACTTTACAGTAAAATTTTAATGTTACCTTTCACTTAAACATGAAGCAACAATGCTAAAGATTTCTACAGCAATTTAAATTTCTGTTCATTTCCAATATTTACTATTGCACTCTCTTAAAAATCTAAAATTGTATCAGTTAACATTAATTATGCACTGTGAACTACCTTACAATCCAACTTAATATGATCTAAGGTTAATAAACACATTGATGTTGCACATTATTAGTTCATGTTAGTTAACCTGAGCTGTGCTCTATCTGCATGCTCACCTCATCATAGAGTGTGCCGCTCACATCAGCACCATATATGGGCGAGACGAATGTCAGATTCTTCCAATACTTCCTCTCCAGGTCTTCATAGTTCAGATAGCGCGGTGTACAGTACCTGAGGAGGTAGAGCACACATCTCCAATGGTCAATCCATAATTGAGTGAAAGTTAATACAGAGTGCAGTCAGTTTTGTATTGTTGCAGAAAACAACAATGTATATAAAAAACTATTTTTTTATGACTGAAAATAGGATTAACTTTAAGAATGTGCATACAACACACTGAATCTATTCTGCATGTACATATTCTGAACCAACTATACATGTACACTTGTTTTAATCACTTACATGTCACTGTTAGCCAGTCTGCGGAATTCTTGCACAGTGAGCGGCTTCTTCTGGATGTTGTACTGGGTGAAGAGTCCTGATTGGCCAGCTACCATCTGCTGAATAGGTGCTTGAATAACAAAATCATCAATATCATCATAATTGCGACGTGGCTTCCAGCCCTTGGGTGGAATTACCTGTGGAAATAATCAAGATTTGATGTAGAAATTATAAATGTTTTTACATTTTATTACATTTTTGTTAAATTGTATTTTCTTCTAAGAAAAAAAACTAGAATGGTTTCTAAAAGTAACAACAGTTTAGAAAAACATTATAAAGCATATTTAAAACAAGAATCAGATGACATTAAACATTTTCCAGGAATTTGATTTCTTTTACAATAATATCATTTAAAATAATTTCAAATAATTAAAAAAAACATCTGGTCACACTTTACAATAAAGTTGTATTACTTAATCTATTTACGAACCTAAACTAATCATAAACAATACTTGTATAGCATTTTTAATAATTTAAAATATTTACTAATGCATTATTAAAATCTAAATTCTTGCTGCTTAACATAATGGGCTTCGAGTTAACATGAACTAACAATAACCTTTATTTCCATAAACTTTTATTTCCATTAACAAAGATGAATAAATACGGTAATATATGCATTAGTAATTGTTTGTTCTTGTTAGTAAATACATTAACAAACAAAGCATTACCATCTTAATTTACTCCTGTTTTTATTTACACGTTCATTCAATAATCATTCTAATGTGCTGATTTTTTTTGCTCAAAAATATTTCTGATTATTATCAATATAGAAATAGTTTTTTTGTTCTGCTTACTATTTATAAATTGATTTAAAAAATGCCAGATTTTTTTATTATAATATTCATTCATTCATTTTTTTGTCGGCTTAGTCCCTTTATTAATACAAGGTCGCCACAGCAGAATGTCTCGCCAACTTATCCAGCAAGTTTTTACGCAGCGGATGCCTTTCCAGCCACAACCCATCTCTGGGAAACATCCACACACACACACTCTTACACTACGGACAATTTAGCCTACCCAATTCACCTGTAACGCATGTCTTTGGACTGTGGGGGAAACCGGAGCACCCGGAGGAAACCCACGCGAAGGCAGGGAGAACATGCAATCTCCACACAGAAACGTCAACTGAGCCTAGGTTCGAACCAGCAAACCAGCGACCTTCTTGCTGTGAGGCGACAGCACTACCTACTGCGCCCCTGCCTCACCTTTATTATATAATACAGGGCTCGAAATTGCGACCATTTTAGTCGCATATGCGCCCGAAATTTAAGCTATGCAACTCATAATATATATTGGGAGCATTCGTGTGACTGCATATAATGGTTGTAGTGCGACCTGTTTTTTTTTTTTTTTCTTTTTTCTAAAAACGTGGTAAATTCGCTCTTCTCTGCCGCTATATTGGTTCATATTAGCCGTCAATCACTCAAGACTTTCCGCTGTCAGATGACAGGGTGGGAGCTTTTGTGACCGCGGGGATTGCAAACGGCTGAAGAGTGAAAAGTACACTGAATCTCGATGCGTTGTATGCACAGTGTTCAGCCAACACAATCTCATGGCAATTCGTAACTTTTTCATATGTTTCCTTGTGAGTTCAGGCTGCAACAGCGCAAATGTCCGCTAAAACACCATCGCCAAAGAAGCTCGCCTTTACTGAGTTTAAACTGATGCGGGTTATAACAAAGAACAGTATTGCGCCGGTGGGCATCGGGAGAATCTTGCTCTGCCCCCCTCTTATTGGGCCGGCTGACTCGCATGCTTTTCCACAAACACAGAAAAATGTCATTCAGCGCGTAACGAGGCTGAGCATTAAAACGACACAAACCGAAACCAAAACTTTTAAAAGTGAGGCTTTTCTTCCTTTCTTTTGTCCGTTCTTTCTTGAGGTGTACATTATTTTCCTATTTAATTACTGATGACTGCTTTGCAGCTTTCAGCATTGGATTAAATTATTTATTATATTATTTTGTTTGTTTTGTAGCAGAAATATTATTTATTAAATTAGCATGCATATAAAAACAATAGTACAAAATAAATATTTCTTACTACAATGCTTCATTTGTGTTTGATACAAACCATCAATTTATTTTTCATTTTTCATAAATTAACAGTAGGACTTTATATAGCAGATAACTTGCATTAAAGCACATTCAAGGCATCATGATGATGAGAAATATTATTCATTATTAGTATTATTGTCATCATCATCATCAATAATATTTTATAATTATTCAACATTCATTTTGGAATTACTGCACAAATATTAAGTCATTACAGCATTAGTTAGATAGTTGTTTCTGGGTTTTGTTAGTCCCAATTGATGTTGTTTTCAAATACAATAAATCCCTTAATATACAACTTGTCAAATATATCATTCATTTTTGGTGGATGCTCCTAATTTTTTTCTGGTGCTCCTAAATTTTTTTTGGTGCTCCTAAATATTTCAGGTTGGGAGCACCGGTGCTACCAAGTAAGAAAGTTAATTTCGAGCCCTGTAATATAATATAATATAAACTGCTTAAACAATAACTTTTAATAATAATTAAGCACCAACATCAATTTAAGTATACATGAGCACAAGACACTTAAAAAATATCTTATTTTTTATATTTCAAACCCTGCAAATCTTCAGGTCTTGCAATTTGATCAAATTGTTTAGATTACAATTTTTTGTTATTACAATTATCAATATTTTTTTTTAATTACAGCTGAATGAGAAACACATCATTCTGTACAAAACACATCATTCTGTACTGTGTAGTGCTTATCAAATAAAGCAGATTATTAATTCTATTGTGAATTTATTTCACACTTTGAATTTATTGTATAAAAATGACACATTTTTACAATAAATTACATGGAATAAACAACCGTACAGTACCAACCTTGGCCAGACCAGCACGATGAGCTCCCTGAGACTCCATATAAACCAGGTACTGGTTGAAATCCTTAAACTCCTCCATGGTGGGTCTGAAGGTCATGATTTTACAGGCAGGGTTTGCAGGGGCACTTGCCCCAACACCTGCCATCCTGACCACTCTCTCCTGCCTCCCAGAGGCTTGACCTGCAGATCACACCCAGTACAATTACACTTCCTCTTCACAAGTCTTCACTACATAATAAAATTTGCACATTTAATTTGGGTTTTGCAAAACACATTTTATGCATATGACGAACTGTCTAACCATTATAAACATGTTGTTGTGTCCCGATAAACAACGTAATGTTAAAAAAAAAACCCGACTACAATTTCATCATAGCGATCACTGTCAAGTGACATCATCAAACCGTGTTTATTTACAGCATCTTCAGTATAATTGTGAAATTTATTCCGCCTTATATTAGTAAAAATGCACAAAAGCGTCAAGACCGAGAGTATCATTCACAAACGTCTTGTTGCATGAGTTTTTAATGCGGCCCACTCCCATAATCTGCTGATAAAACAATGATATAAAACCGAAATAGACCTGCTGGATATTGATTAAAGAATCATATTCAGAAGCAATATTTACACGTAAAATCGCAGCGTCATGATTTTTATCACTTGCATCATACTGTTTACTGTACTCAGCTGGGTTTATTTACAGTTAGCTCATTAGCTGCTAAAGTGACCATATTAAATGTCCACTCTTAATCTCGTTGTCAAACTTCTCCGCTTAGCCCATAAAAACAAGACGAAGCTGTTTCTGCACGAGGGTTGTTTTCTGTTATGCGTATCAATTAGAAATACCTCAGTGTAGTGTGATCGTGGGCACGCAGTCCAGTCCCTTTAAATCCCCAGCTGTTCTACTTCATGACAGCTCTCTCTTCTCACACGATTTCACGTCTACCTCGCTTTAATTTCGCTCTGAGCTTTCAAAAGCACAGCGCCATCTGTTGGTCTGTATGTCACACAAATATACTGCAACGCATACAATGCAGCTCCAATAAACAAAGCACTGGGTTTTTCTGAACGAATTTAAACAATACCTTTCACTGATCCAAATGTCCCATCACAAAAAGGCTCTAAAACTTCAACTGTCTGCGGCTCTTTTCCTACATTTGAGTAAATTTAGCTTTTTCTATATGTATTTTTTATATACCCCATGTGTTTAGCAGTTTTTTTTTTTGTTTTTTTTTTTGCAGTTCTATTTCTTCATTGTTAAAGTTAATTGTTCTGCCTATGTGCTGTTTTATGTATTATGGGTTTAATATAAAAAATTAATAAAATAAATAAATAAATAAATAAATAAATAAATAAATAAATAAATAAATAAATAAATAAATGAATAAATAAATAAATAAATAAATAAACAAGCAAAGCACTGGAAGTTTTCTATATAAAATTTGAGAACCAGACGCAGTACAGCTTTGATCAAGAGTGTTTGCCTCAAAGATTATAACGCACCCTTCTTAAATAAAATAGTTATTACTAAGCATTTTTAAATAGTATTTTAATTTTACATTGAGTGGGCCTAAATGTAACATACATATAAAATCCATTCCTTTATTTTTAAAGCACATTTAAAAACAACAGAAAGAATAAAATGCATTATGCTATCAACAATATATAGATCTAAATAAAATATACTCAAATACAGAAATTAGACTTTCACATTAAAACACATAATTGAAATGGTAGAAAAAATGGATATGGCTGCATATTATGTATTGTTTCAGCATCGATATTGTAATATGATCATTTACAATAATCACATCTCAGAATATGCAATGTTGAGTTTTTATTATCATTTATTCATTGACATTGATCAGTGACCTTAACTACAATAAATTTTATAGAATTATTTTTATTTTTATCATTCAGTTACTTGAATACTGTTAGACTCAGGAAATGATAAAAACTTTATTTTAATTGTATCTTTGCATGATTTTATTTTTAGATTGTTATGCATGAAAACACTCACAACACATACAAATACAGAAATGCACTGCAAATAGCACAGACTACAACAAAAATGTCAGCAGCAGGTTTTATAGGTTGTTCATTTGATTTTATGGCGATGCATTCCCACTGCAGAATCATCCCAATTGATCTAACATTATAATTTTTTTCCCAAATAGATATATTGTCATCTGGTGAAATTGTATTTATATCACAATATATTTGTAAATAAAAAAATATCGCAATGTTAGATTTTTCCAATATTATGCAGCCCTAAAATGTATGTAGGTTAAATATTTCATATTTCATATTTATGTTATTCTAAAAAACTTTAAAATGACACCAGGCTTAATAGTATTATAATGTTGAAATTAAAAAGATTACAGTGAAATTTAAGAATCAGACAAAGCATAGTTATGGTAGCTTCAAAAATTACAATGTACACTAACTCTGTACTCTAAAAATAGTTATTAAATATTTTTAAAATAGGCCTGATATTTGTCTAAATGAAATGCACATATAACATTAAGATACAAATTGACATTATTGACAATAAGTATAGAAATAAATGCTGAATAATATTACTCTTAAAGAATACAGTAGATCAGAATACTTAGGAGATTTAAGAGGTTTTCGTTTTTCTTGTTGTTGAATTGGGTTTTATAATATCCATAACAAAATATCTATGACTTTATAAACCACAAAACAGAGTATAAGGAGATTTAGGTTTAGATCATCATAAGGAGATTTAGGAGATTCCATTCAAAAAGCAAGCTAGGCATATTTCACTGAAATCGTCAAAAAAAAAAACTAAAAGGAAAGTCTTAAAGGGGTGGTTCACTACGATATTATATTCTAAACTTTAGTTGATGTGTAATTTAGTTGTGTGAACATAAACAACATCTCTGAGTGTAAGACGCTCAAAGTTCAATGCAATGGGAGACAGGCTTTTACAGAGTTATCTTAGCAAAGCCTACAGTAAACAAGTTTGGGGACTTTTTAATTATAACATCACGGCATCAAAGAAAAATATAATAACAAAAATTAAGAAAGAGGACAAAAAAAAGTTCAATCATAAACAAACGCCTCAATCATAAAGAAAAAAAGATTATCGTAAGCTTTAAGAAACATATAATTCCTATCATTATTAATAAGCTTAGGAGATTCAATATTAAACGAAATTTCAGCAAGAAAAGTATTAAATGTAGGTATTGCCTTCATTAACTTATTTTTGTGTATACCCCATTTACAGTGTACGAAGTTTGGGGACTACAAAAAAATACATCTGGGTTAATGATGTCATAAACCCATCCGGTTATGCACACACCCCACGCAGAAATAGGGGTGTTGCCAGAGGCGCTGTAATGTTAACAAGCCAATCCACGAATCACAGCACATTATGTTAGCTGACCAATCATTGCCTCCTGAGGACTGGCCTTTTGGAGGAACTAGGAAATATGACAGTCGTTTTCATGTTTGTTGAGTAATTGTATAATCAAAGATATGAAAAAATAATATGATTTTTCTTCAAATGAAGCATGAGCACACATTTCTTTGCACCTCATAAACACAACTGAGCCTTAAAAATACACTCTGGACCACCCCTTTCGGTTTTGAATACAGAAAAGTCGAAGTTTGCAAGAAATTATACTGACAGATACTGCCAGAAAAAAATATCTGCTGCTGTCATTGCTGCAAAAGGTGAGTATGCCAAAATATGAAAATTAAAAGTGGATAAAAACAGTATCACTCTTTGCTGTGGTCAGAGCAGCCGTGTGTTTTATGAACATTAAATTAAATGTTTTGAAGGAAAAAACATCTATACTTTAGACCTGTCAGGTGTTCCTATAATTTAGGCCACTATTTTTATTCCATTTAGTTCATCTTTATTTTTATAGCGCTTCTTACAAAAGGGGGCGGTGGAGAGGGAGAGAGAGAGAGGAAGAGAGAGAGAGAGAGAGAGAGCGACTAACTGATCAAGCGCTGAAAGCAGATTAAACGGTTAAACTGAAGTGCGTCTCTGTGAAACTCCCGGTGGACTAACCCACCTTCACTTTATTTATTTACCGGCCCAATGACTCTTCTGTCTTCACCGGCGACGGATAGTTCATGAAAATGTTACTCTTCGTGTGAGGTGAGTGGAAAACATAGCACGTAATCCTTCATTATCGTTGTGTTGTGAAGATGAAGGCGCGTCTTTGACGGGACGAGGTGAATTTGACAGATTACAGGGAATTAAGTGAATGACACTTTCATCGCCGCGAATTAAAGACACTCAACCAGCCTTCATAGAGAAACTCGAGTCTGTTTGACTGTGATGAAGAGATAGTGAGTGAAATGTTCATTAAACAGAGTCACAGAAATATAGGACATTTTGCCTACATAGATGTGTTTTACAGAAGGCGTTTTATAGACGCTTATTTGTGCTCTTGTTTTATAATAAGAGTAATAGTGATATTAGTTGTCTTTGTCGACTGAGATTCTGCCCCACGGGTAATAATATTATATTATCTTCTTACCATTTCAGGGAATGTCAGATAACCTTGTTTATGTGACTGAGAGTAGAATCCAGTGCTCCCATTTTAGAGATGTCATATGCAACATACTATATATTAAACAAAACGCTGCACTTTTCATTGATAATGTTGATTCATAAAAACCATTGCATTTATTAGCCTACAAATCCATTTATTATGTAGCCTAATCTATGTATATGGTTCAAGACAGCAGCACAGTTTTTCTCAAACTTCATTCATTTTACTGTTATATATTTATATATTTTTTTGTTATTCAGTTTATTGTTAATGTTATTATTCAGTTGTTGTAATAATTCTGATTAGTAGTGAAAGCGAGGGCAAAAATCAGTCAGGAGATCCGGCAGGCTTCAGAAAGGGCCATAATTCATTTATGCTGTTATTTTTAGGAGCAGCTGAATACTGTGAATTCTTGATGCCTTGTAATCGTAAACTTACCAAAACAGACCATGGTTAGACGACTTCCACATGTTTAAAACCTGATAAACTGTAGTGATGATGATGTGCTCAGACTAAATAATAGGCACTAGCACATAAACTAAACTGAAAAAAAAAAAGATTTATTGGATTTACTACAATTTTCTAAGACAAGTGGTTGCAAACAATTTATATAGGCTGAAATAAATTCCGATTAAGATTAAGATTAGTTTACAGATTTAGTTAAATTACAAAATTCAGTTCGTTTGTTTAAATTCAGCCCAAACATTGTTTGCTACAATTTTGCAAAAATATTTTGTTCAGTATGCCTAAAGAACTGATGCAAATAATCTTAGATGACCTATCATGGCACATCTGGACACATGGAGCAGCCGTTCACAAGCTGCTAACAGCCAAAATTGGACAATTTGTGCCAATACTCATTTAAGAGGCTCTTGGAGAGGGAGATCTTCAACAGGAACTGATCTGATTATGCTCTCTATATGAGAGTGACTGAAGCCCCTAGGACAAATGACAGCTTCAATTACAGACACATAAATGCAGCAGACAAGCACAGACACAAAAAAAACTTGCTTTGTTTAACATGCTTTTAGTGGCTTGTGGAGAGAAACAGTTGGAGTCAACATTATTAGCCCTCCTTTCATTTTTTCCCCTTCTTTTTCAATATTTTCTAAATGATGTTTAACAGAAAAAAACAATTACAGAATTTCCTATAATATTTTTTCTTCTGAAAAAAAGTCTTATTTGTTTTATTTTTGCGATGAAAACAGTTTTTAAAAAATATTTTAAGGCCAATATTATTAGCCCCCTTTAGCAATATATATTTTTAATAGTCTACAGAACAAACCATCATTATACAATAATTTGCCTAATTACCCTAACTTGTTTAATTAACCCAATTAAACCTTTAAACTGCAATTTAGTCCAAAAACTATAAAATGTCTAATAAAATATTATCTACTGTCATTATGGCAAAGACAAAATAAATCAGTTAGGAATGAGTTATTAAAACTATTATGTTTAAAAATGTTCTGGAAAAAAAACCCTGAAATTGTTTAACTTTAACTGTTAAACAGAAATTGGGAAAAATATATAGATGGGGCTAATAATTCAGGAGGGCTAATAATGCTTCAACTTCAGACTTCAACTGTATATTTTCTCTATAATCATTACTGATTCCATCAGAATTCACTGCTTTAATTATGTAGAATATAGGGCTTGTATGTTCAAAAATAGGGAAAAAAATTTCTCAAAGCTGCTAAGAAACTATAAATCTCAGCTCAAGTTTTAATTATATTGAATAATGTATATTAATCAAATTACACATTTGTTTCTAAAATAAATATTTTTTATTCAACAATGCATTAAAATGAGAAAAAAGTGACATTAAAAAGAGTTCAGTTTAAAAAGGTTTATTTTCTTTAGATGTATCTATTCTTCCACAATAATATTAACAATAGCAAACATTTAGTCATTGATAATGACATTAAGAGATGTTTCTGATGCACCAAATGTTAGATTCATGTAAATGTAAATGTAAAAGCATCCTAAAATGTTAGAGGGGAAGTTCACACAACATGAACATTTATACACATGTATTCACTTTGAAGTTGTAACAATCTTTTATGACCTTTATTTTTTCTGTTGAACACAAAAGAAGATATTTAGAAAAATGTTTTGAAAACTAATATTTGTAAAAATTGAAGGGATGACAAAGTAAACGATGACAGAATTTTCAGTTTTGAGTGGACTACCTCTTTTCAATAGAATATAATTTTAAATTGTAATACTGGTGGAGAGTGTTGTCTAACACTCGGTTTATTGTCTAATTACTGTAATTGGATTATGATTTACATTATGTTTTCACCATCAGCCTATACAGTAACCCCTTTTGGGGGGCACTGTCATTCTAACAAGAGCCCACTTGAAATGTTTAATCTTAGGATAAATGACTTTGACTGAAACAATGCAATAAGTCAGTAATGCAGAACCAGTGGAGCCAAACTACAGTTCTTCATTTTCTTTTAATTTGTAACCTTTCTATATATTTGTGTCTTTACATATATAATATCTATGACTCAAATCGACTTGCTATAGAACATGTAAATAGATTTATGTGACTCTATAGCCCCACACATTTATTTTAGGTCAGGCTTAAACTTAAACACTTAGTTTTATACATTATGTATGCTCTATCTTTAACCACAAAGGGGTCCTTGACCTGTAAGGTTGAAGACCCCTTATACTGAGGTAAGCTGGTGTCAATAGTGATCTCACACAGTTTCCTGGACTATTATTAGTAACAGTTCTCTCTCCATTTCCTGGTGATATTTATAAATGCTTGAGGAAATTATAATATTAAATTAAATGCTTGCAGACAAGCTTATAGACAGCCACACAATCAGCTGAGGTTATTATTTTAGACTAATGTTTTGTTGTTTGAGTCTCAACTATATCATTACAAAGAGAAAGCCTCTTGAAAAGAAAGAAACTGCTAAAAATGAAAACTCAGAAAAAAGTTTATTTATTTATTTATTATTATTATTATTATTATTATTATTGGAAGCAAACATTTTATGATACAAAAGTCTTCCTTGTCTACCAGGATCAAATGTTTTAAAATATATATTTTTTATAATTTTTTTTTTATGTTATTTAAACAAAAGCTTTCCTCAAAACATTACTCCTAGAATCATGCAAATTCAGTCACACTTTCAGTTTTTCTTACTGTGCACCTCTTTAGCTTCTCTTTCTCTTCTTTAACCTCATCCAACTTCCCCATCTCATTTGTTTTCCTTTTGTCAATATACTTTTTTCCCTAATTTCCCCTTCCTCCTATCACCAATGATCATCATTCATCTGTCTCTGCAGATGTGCAGTGCTCAGATCATGCTGCCCGGCCACTCTTTCACTATCTTTGTGTTTTGTTCTGCTTGTGTGTGTGTGTGTGAGTGGTGAAGCAGCATTATCTAGATGCATTATTAAAGCCTGTGCACTCTGTGGTTCTCTCTCTCTCTTTCTCTCTCTCTATTTCTCTCACACTTGCTCTCGGTAAATCTGAAAGAAGAGTTTAAAGGCAATGATAGGATTACAAAAGCATTTAAGGAGAGCTTGAAGGATGTGGAGTACTTGGAACTTCATAAACATACATTTGCTCAAAGCTTACTTATGGCGAACGCACCAATGAAAAGCTAACATTTCGGCAGCATTATCAATTTCGTAATGATTTTTTTTTTTAGAAAAAAAAGTTAATTGTAAATGTACTCTCATTGTTATGTTCTGCATATAGCTATAGGGGTTGTTCAAGATCTTTCGTTTGAGTAAATTACAATGCGGTGCTGAAAAATGTCAGTGAAAGACCCTGACAGTGCATACTGTGGTTATGGGGGGAAAATAGCACCGGGAGAAAGATAAATGAAGGAAAGCAGAGAACAAGCGAGTGAGAGGAAGAAAGAAAGAAAGCCGTGTTCTCTGTTTTTGCACTAGATACATTAATTATTCAACAGCCAGGAGCTGAAAATGTTCAGAGGGGACTCCGACAAGGCTGATGGTTCAGTCTTTCTTTCGCTCTCTTAATCTCTCCTCAGACTTCCATTGTCACTTCATCAGTTTGTTATTACTGTCTCACTATAAGCTTCCAGCAACTCACAATTGTTATATTGCAGTCAAGAATTAGAACACTGCTACTAAAGGGCTAGCTAACTGCAAGCATCCTTTTTTTTTTTTTAACAATATCAGATTATTTAACATATTTAACAGAACTACTATATTTAATGGAAGAAGAAACACAGCTATTCCTAAATAGAACTAAATATGCTGCTGTAAAATGCTAATATATCTACTATGCATTTGGCAGTTGCTTTTATCCAACTCATATCCAATGTTTAATGTACTGGAGGGAGCTTCTTCCTGTTAATCTAACATGTCATAATAAGGGTAAAAAAATGGAAATGAATTATTGTCACAAACATGCAGAGAATGCACAGGTACAGTAGCTCACTTCTGTAGGTAAACACTGAATATAAGTGGCTTTGGATAAAACCATCTTCCAAATTCCAAAAGTAAATGTAATATAGCATTTTTTTGTATCCAACACCAATGTCACAGGTTTACATTCAATTTAATGCAAGTGCTTTATAGGGTATGTTTACATGATATTGATGCGCCTTTTTTCCTTTGTGCTTTGAAAAAGCTTTTTTCTTTTTTTATGTTTTGTTTTGTTTTGTTTATTTGGATAATACACCCGACAATACACCATAACACTTCTTGACTTTCTTGGTTTGTGTGAATCCACACATTTTCCAAGTAATTTAACACATCTCTAGTACAAATGTGGGTTTGTTTAATTATAACAGTGTTATTTACCCTAAATAAGATGGAAGTGAAAATGAAACAAAAATATATTCTCGATAAATTAATATGATTCATTTTTTTCCAAAAAAGTTTAGAAATTGTATAGTTCTAATAATGACAGCGGGTACATTGTAACACAATGTTTCTTATTTGCTCAACTGGAATTTAAAAACGGTTTTATACTGTGCTAGTTAGCAAAGCTAAAATTCTAAATAACTTATTTATTTTTATATTGTGAAATTCATTACTGAACATTATTAAAATTAGAGCAGATTTGTGTCATTTTAAATAAAATGGTTTAAATAATTATTAAATAAATCATCATTATGAAAATATAAGGAGATTTGAGGCATTTGTAATTCAAGATTTTCTATTTATAGTGCAGTATACCTGAATTGCAAGTATACTTTATAAGTTTTGTTATGCAAGTAATGAAAAGTTTAATCCATGTGTTACATCTAACTTTGCTCACACCTATCGTGCACCTTTTGAAAAGGCACATAATTTGTGCATTTATTTCTGAAAGTGTCCAGATTATTACAATGCTCAAATGATTACAGATGAAAATGACTAAAAACCGTGTATTACGAATGTCAGCTCAAGAGATGGCAATGCCATTTACTAAAGAAACATTATGAATCCACACATGCACAGACCTGTAGTCTACTATTGTTATTTTGGATGTCAAGTGATCACACAATGCCTATAAACAGATCATTGTGTTCACATATTCACATTTGTGTAGTTCACCCAAGAGGTTATGGTATTGCTTTTAAACATTTGCACTTAGATATCCATTTTCAAAAGCATTTATAATAGGGATGCACAATATATATCACAATGTTATTTGCAATAAAAAAAAGATCTGCAATGTTAAAGTAAGACTACATAATAACCAACTAAACAGTTGTTCATCGTAAAAATTAACCCTAATAGAATGAAAGATTTTGGTTTTCATTTGGATGTTTTTAAGATCGCCACTGTAGGATTTCAATAGGATTTAAACCAAGGGGTTATAAAGTTTTAAGCTTTAATGAAGATATATTATGGTTGTGGCTGGAAGGGCATCCCCTGCGTAAAACATATGCAGGATAAGTTGGCGGTTCATTCCACTGTGGTGACCTCTGAAATAGAGACTAAGAGACTCACACAATAATGAAGACTAAACAATGCTATTTTACAAATGATTATTGAATTTCTTTTGTACCTCAATACTGTTAGACTCCACATAAATCCATAAAACATGGTTTATTTAATTTCTATCTGTTCAATTATGCGTCAATGCTTGTAATTAGTTTATTGTATTTTTAATGCAGACAAAATAATTCCAATCAGTCCAAAATTATGATTTTTTTTTCAAATACAGTTTTAATTCATCTTATGAAATTATATTTACATACAGTACATACAAAATCTAGTTTATACCAGACAAACCAAAATATTGCAGAGGGTGCTGCAGTTATGTATATTTGAATAGCCGACAAGCATAAAACATTTTTTGTTGTTGTTGTTTTTAGTAGAAAATGTCCAAATGTAAACATGCTCTTGGACAAAAGATCAAATGCAATGCCATATCTGTGTGGATGCCATTTGAGGCTGAGATTACTTACACCCAGACTGAGTTTTATAATTTGATGAGGGTAGAAAAGATATTTCTTGCAGTGTGATCTGGGAAGAGGCATGGGAGGTTAAAAATAAGTTGAGCAGAGGCACTGAGGCTTTTAAGAAGTATGGCATTTGACCAGCAAGGATGGAGTTAACAGTCTGCCCATTAAACTACTAAAACCTGGATAAGCAGCGATTAGGAAAAGACCTTATTTTGCTTTTTAACTAGAAGAGAAACCCTTTATTAGCATCACTTTGGATTAGGCAATTACAGTCCTGGCAAAACATCCATGCACTTATATAATACAACTGTAAAAATATAAATATACGCTGACAATAATAGTCTCTCTTTAGTGTTTAGTTTGAGTTTAGTTTTAAGGCTGTAGTTCTGGCCATAGAAATACTGTTGTCCGTGTAGAATATCACTCCTCATTTAAACATGAAAAATGCTTTTTACTGAGAGAGCTCGTTCAATTAAACAAGGCAACAGAGCTTTATTCTTTGTGGTGCAACAACTTTGAACATCAAACATATTGTATCTGAATGTGACTGTTAAATTCATTTAGCCAGTTCTGGCCAAAAAGGCCATTTGTTCACATTTAATTGCTCTTCTTCTAATTGCTTAATTGCAAGAATCTAATTTTACTTTATCTAACTTTATGCTGATTTAAGCCCTGGTCAGATCACACGATTTTTATTGTCGGTTACGAAAGTCATTATGTCAGATTATGTGATTTTGTCTTGATAAAATATTGACTTGTTGTGGGTAAAAAATGTGCCAGACTACATGTTCCTTCATGATCAGTTATCTTGTGACATTTACAATGAGCGTTATTTCCCAAAGCAGTCACAATGGTTGCTATAACAATATTTCTTATCTCAATATAAATAGTTTTTAATCTTATTTTAATCTTAATAAACACTGCTTGCTGACAACTTGGCTATATTACTATTTAATGGCATTCATTATGACAGTGATGGGATCAAACGTATTTCCTTTTTAATATTAAGATATTTTCTTTTAAATCTAAATGTATATTTTCCAGCCATGGGTTGCCTATTAAACACTCCCTCCCTGAACTTGCCACAAGTGAGATGGAAAAAAATTTAAGCACATCAGCAGCAAGGAAAAATCAGATGCTCAAGAGAAAATAATGACTTATTAAAAAATAGCTAATATATGACAAAGGTTTGTGACACAACAATTACAATGGAGCCTTAATTAGGTCCTTATTTTTAACTGAGGGAAACAAATAATCCACCCGCACGGCTGAGTAGTGGACGAGCACAAACAAAAAAATAATTTGTATATTTTTCTTGAAAGAAATATCTTTTTGAAATGAATTTCATTGGGTGTAATTTGTATCTTAATTTTAATGTATTTTGTTGGTTTGTTATTTACTAGATAAGCAAGAATAACGAGTAACATCTGAGGTGAAGTGCTTCAAAGTCCGCTATATGCTTCAGCGCCAAAGCATGAACTGGTTTGCTAAATAAAATAAAATGTAGCTTAAATAACATTAAAGTCAAATTTTCAGTTTCAGAGAAACTAAATGACAAAAGCATCCATTGCTGTTTAGTTTCAATTCAATTAGTTTAATCAAGTAATTTGAATAAGCAGAACAGGCTTTTACAATGTTTTTGCAGCACTAAACTCCTACCCAGACTACCTAGGAAGAAAGAACTCGGTCGGAAGGCTGAAAGAACTCAGAAACTTGTTGTGAGAATAGAGATTTTTGCATATTTATGTCAGATAAAACTGTTTAAAAAGCTTTAATATTTTTGAGAAAGTAGGTAAAGTTTGCATAACCAATGATTGATCTTATCCACTCGAGACCCACCCATAAGTAAATATGCAGCCTATTTTTTGGTAATGGCATCGGTTGTCATGAACTATGACACATTACATGAGAAGAAATGATCGAACCTTGTGTCATGATGCCCAGTTGTTGTTTTTGACTCCCCAAGGTAACCCTACTTCAAGGAAATCGTGACAAATACGTGTGATCTGACCATGTCTTTAGACTGTGGAATAATTCGTCACCTTGGAATTATAAGGTTCTTTATTTGGCAAATAATTTCCATTTCGCATTAAACCTTTTTTGCACATGTCCAAAACCACCTCTATTGAGCATAACACGTTTTTTGTGAATTAAGGAATTTTTATTTGAAATTTGGCATTTCCATCACTTGTTTCTCATACGATGCTTCAAAATGCGCATTAGTGATGGAAAACCACATACTTCTCGCAGATACCTCAGAAATCATTGAGAAATGCTTTTCTAAAATTTCCCATGACTGTTCCTATAAAAGTTTTGCTTGGTGTAAATATTACAAATTCAATAACCAAAACTAATGTTTAAGGGCAAACATGTTACAGATAAGACAATATGCTACTGAATCATGAAATAATTAGTGCTATTTTTTTTTATCTTTTAAACCAAATGTAAATCACTGCACTTTACCAGATAAGTCTAATACTATGACCAAATTTCTTTAAATGACAAATAACAAATAATTTATTAAAGTACTATATCACTGGAGTTTAGAAAAAAAAAAACATTTCAGCCTTTTGTCAGTTTAGCCCTTTTTTTACCTAAGAGTTGCAGGCTTGCCTTCTGGAGGGGATCTTTAGCTTATTTCACCACCTTTTCAAATTCCCTCTGCATTTCCCTTGAAATGATATATCAATGTTTCAGTCTTTTCTGTTACATAAACAAATTGGTTTAATCTATACATATTCACTCTGTTTTTATTGAAATCTCACAAAACTTAATAAACATCCAAAGCACTTTCTGTTGAATGAAAGGCACCCCAGTTCAGGTTTACTCAAGGCATTTTTCTCTTCACTCCACTCCAGGTTTTCAATTTCCCACTTCTAACTAAGTGATTAGAGAAACCCTGTTCTGAGCAATCAGAAACATTGGGGAAAAAAGTACATTCATCTCTTCACACATAATGAACTCTGCTCACCACACAGACCAAAACCATCATGTGTTGTAATGGAATCATAAACTGTTAATTTATCTTCAATCGGAGAAGGGAATGAGAATGATGCAACATGGCCAGTGTATTGGTATTGCTGTGACCCAACTTCAGTGGCCAGTCAGTCATGCAATAGTCATTTCCAATAGTGAGATAAGATTCTTTTTTACATCACATAACATCTTATGTGTCTCTTTAACAGATCTGGGGACCTCTTGAAGCTCCAATCATGGCAGCAAACAAGAGCCTATGTTTGATGGAGAGGACCACTGGATCAAGAAGGAAAAGCTCTTACACTGTCTGGAATTCACCACTGATGAAACAAGAACTCTGAACTGTTCTCCTTGGTCATATTAACCTGCCAAAGTTCAGGTGTAAAACATCGACTTAGATGCAGTGCAAATGGATAAAACAAAAACTTCAAAATCACACACACTGGATATATTTATGCTGAGCAAGCCAATGAAGTAAAAATATTTATTCAATGTTAGCGATCATATGAAAAGAATGATTAAGTCAAATATTTTGAAGAATTGGTATTGAAGCTATGGAAAAGTTCCTCTTTGGTGGGGCAACATATCATCTGACTGTAAGGTAAGTGTGAAGTGTGTTTCCTTGTTTGCAGCCCAGGATCTTCAGAAATATGTGACTTAGCCTACATTTTTGCGAAATTTGAATAAGTTGCTCTGTGTTTGTTTCAGTCCATGTTCCAATTGACAGATGCACTAGAGGACGATGTCTAGATCTTTGCGAATCTGAAATACTTTACTCATGGTACATTTTGTTGTACTTTTCAGATATTAATCACGTCCATGAGCATCTAGCGAATCCCTGACATATACCATTCCTTAAACCCCACCAATAGTGAGAGATCTACTAAAGGACGATGTCTACATCTTTGCGAATCTGAAATAATTTACTCATGGTACTTTTTGCTGTATATTGTTCACGTCTATGAGCATCTAGCGAATCACTGACATATACCTTTATTAAAACCCAACCAGTAGTGGCAGATCCACTAGTGCAGGGGTGTCCAAACTCGGTCCTGGAGGGCCGGTGTTCTGCATAGTTTAGCTCCAACTTCCTTCAACACACCTGCCTGGAGCTTATTAGTATACTTAAAAAGAGCTTGATTAGCTGGTTCAGGTGTGTTAATTGGACCTAAAATATGCAGGACAACGGCCCTCCAGGACCGAGTTTGGACACCCCTGGACTATAGGACGAAGTCTACATCTTCGCAAATCTGAAATAATTTAGTCATGGTACATTTTGCTGTACTTTTCTGATATTGTACACGCCCATGAGCATTTAGCAAATCACTGACATATACCTTTCCATAAACCCAAGCAATAGTGTTTTCAAAAGCAAGCATAAGAGAAAAGTGCACCATTACCATGTAGTTTACCTTGATTTTACATAGTTTTTATCTCTTTTTTGAAACCGTGTTTTACTGAATATGCTCGAGTAGCCTGTGCCACAAGTACAACATTGTACAAAGTGAGCTCCTAAGAAAACTGACTGCGATAGGTGAGGCAAACATATTTGATTACAAATCATGGTAACACTTTATTTTGATGATCCATTTGAGTATTAGTAGACTGTCTGCTTAATATCTGTTGAAGCTACTGCTAAACAGACATTTAACTGACTATAAAAATTTTGCAAGTACATGTCAACTTACACTAAACCCAACCTAACAATCTACTATAATCTAATGAGAATAAGTTGATATGTAGATGAAATGTAACTTAAATTCAACAATAGTACCATCAAAATAAAGTGTGACCAAAATCATAGACAACATTAAGTTGTTTCGTGGTATTTGTTGGTGTTGTGCAAAGAACTGCACAATTATACGCCTTTATTTTTCGATAATACGTCAATGGAAATATTGTTAGTGTGAAAAAGAACAAAAGCTATTGCTCTTACTGCGCCGTAGCATTAGTTTTACCTGCAGTGGAAGGTACGTTTCAGATACACATCTTTCATGTACACATTCATAAGCAGGTAACACTTGTACAGATCACCTAGCGAATCACTGACATATACCTTTCCCTAAACCCAACCAATTGTGTTTTCAAAAGCAAACATAAGAGAAAAGTGCACCGTTACCATGTAGTTTACCTTTAGTTTTTAGTTTATTTTTAAAACCGTGTTTTACTGGACTCAAATTCAAGTACCCTGTGCAACAATTACAACATTAGACCAAGTGAGCTACCGAGCAAAATATCCACACAAATGTATTCACTTACAAGTCATAGACACCTAAAGTTGTTTTATGGTATTTATTTATTTTGTGCAAAGAACTACACAAAAAATGTGTTATTTGTTTATAATATGTACCTGAAAGTAGTAATAGTGTGAAAAGGAACAAAAGTTGTTTGCGTCTTACTGCTTTGCAGCATTAGTTTTACCTAAAAACTGCAGTGGAACAAATTTGTTTTTGCAGTTTCATAAAAATGTTGGCCGAAGCATGTATTTCCAATGAGCCTGTGTTACTTATTTGTGTGCACTAGTTTGTCCAAGGTGTTTACATGTGTGTCTATAACTCAGTGATCGGCTCAGTGTGTGACGCAATTGCACTCTGTCCCTGCCTTTACAAACCTAATCCAATTAGAAAACTTGTCAGTAACCTTAGGGTCGTCTGTCTGATACTCTGTACACATCTACGTACTTTACACTCTAGAAAGGACTGTAAAATTAGGGAACTGTATTGTACTGAGTTAAAAATGTACAGTGTTTATATCACATTGTGTTGTTTTAGGGTTAAAAGAAACATAAACTAAATGTCCTGACAGAAAAATACCAATAATTACCTTTTAAGTTTTCCATTAAGTTGGAACAAGTCTACAGTGGAGGCTTAGTAACTACTTGCAAGTTTGTAACTAACTGTGTAGGTTATTCAGTTGCTCCCTTTTTATCTTAAGGCACATTGCAAAGTTGTACGTTGTTCTTAAAGTAATGTGGAGACATTACTCTAATTGATCCTAAACATTCATTCTTCTGGCAGATGCATTGGTTTAAAGTGACGTTACATTCAATGTATACATTTTATTAGTTCTTGCTTGTTGCTAGTGCTCATGTTTGAACTAAGGCACAATTATATGTGAAATATAATACATGATCCTGAATAACGTCATGGACATTTTGGTTACACTTTCAATAAGGTGTCTTTGTTACACGTGTGTTCTTACTTAAGTAATTATAAATTAATTATGCATAATTTTAAACAACACCCTAAACTTAACCAGCATTTAAACCCTAACCATATAGTAAGTATGCAATGAATTAATATTACTCAGTAGTAAAATGTAATGTGTATTTATATAGCGCATTTATTGCATATGGTCACACACACAAAGCGCTTCACAATCAAGAGGGAGGGGGGTCTTTCCACACCACTTCCAGTGTGCAGCATCCACTTGGATGATGCGACGGCAGCCTCATGACAAAGGCGCCAGTGCGCTCAACAAACACCCGCTATTGGTGGAGTGAAGAGACAGTGATAGAGCCAAATTGGTGGATGGGGATGATCGGGGGGCCATGATCATTAGGGGCCAATTGAGGGAGTTTGGCCAGGACACCGGGGTTACACCCCTACTCTTTACAAGAAGTGCTATGGGATTTTTAATGACCGCAGAGAGTCAGGACCTCGGTTTAACGTTTCATCCAAAAGACGGCGCCCACTGATGTCCCCTTCACTTTTACTGGGGTATTAGGACTCACACAAACCACAGGTTGAGCGCCCCCTGCTGGTCTCTCTAACACCACTTCCAACAGCAACCTAGTTTTCCCATGTGGTCTCCCATCCAGGTACTGACCAGGCTCAGCCCTGCTTAGCTTCAGTGAGGCTGCAGGGTGATATGGCTGTGGCCAAATAGTTACACTGTAACAAGCACATTCATTCATTTTCTTGTTGGCTTAGTCCCTTTATTGATCCAGGGTTGCCACAGCGGAATAAACCGCCAACTTATCCAGCAAGTTTTTACGCAGTTTTTCCAGCCGCAACCCATCTCTGGGAAACATACACAAACACACACTCATACACTATGGACAATTTAGCCTACCCAATTCACCTGTACCACATGTCTTTGGACTGTGGAGGAAAACGGAGCACCCGGAGAAAACCCACGCGAACGCAGGGAGAACATGCAAACTCCACACAGAAATGCCAACTGAGCCGAGGATCGAACCAGCGACCCAGCGACTTTCTTGCTGTGAGGCAAACGTGCTACCCACTGCGCCACTGCGTCGCCCTTGTAACAAGCACACCTTAAAATAAAGTATAAACTGTAATTTATAAGTAAATACAAAAAACATGATCGCCTAACAACAAGAAGGTTGCTGGTTCGAGCCCCTGTTGGTAGAGATGCGCGAATCAGCTGGAATGTCACCCGAATCCGCAGCTTCATACTAATCATCCACCCGCTACCGCCCGGATACAGGAACAAGATAACAAAAAGGGTGCCACTTCAGCCTAAACGGCAGCTATGTTATTATTTATTTTTAAAGTTCCCAGGTTCTGCAGGTTGCAATGTCCTGAATTTTGCTTGCCAATATTAAGCCAATTGCAATCGATTGTTTTGGTTCAATTTGATATTTCCCCAACCAGCGCAGAGTGAGTACACAGTGAGTACACACACAGTGAGTACTCACTGTGTGAGTACACAGTGAGTACTCCGACTAGGCCACCCCCGGTCTGCTATGTTATGTTTACTTGGCCTTTTTCTTTGCACTGTGTGCTTATTGTAGGAATGCACAAGATTCTCCTCGCAAGGCTCTGCAGTCCTGGAAATAAACGATCTTGTTTGTCCCAGAACGATAGCAGATTTTCCTTTGATGACTTGAAAGAGTCAGTGCCTTACCAGCCACAAACCTCACCGCACGTCAAGCGGCACTCATGTCTCATCACTAACTGAAAGTTTAAACAGTACTCTTTCACTTCATCCATTATTTTGGGTGTCTTGTCTTCACATTTTGCAAAGCCCACTCTCTGCTTTTTCGCTGGTCCACTGCCATGTCCCACTACATCCACCCGCAATTAATCATAATGTATTTTTTTATTACCCCTTCCACGTTCAAAGTCATTTAAATCACATTTCTTCCCCATTCTGATGCGCGGTATGAACTGCTGCAGATTGTCTTGACCATGTCTACATGCCTAAATGCACTGAGTTGCTGCCATGTGATTGGCTGATTAGAAATTTGCGTTATGAGCAGTTGGACAGGTGTACTCAATAAAGTGGCCGGCAAGTGTAGGTCTGTAAGGTTCATTTCAACAGTTCATTTAGTCTGCTATTTGCTGCAATATCAAGATTAACAGTGCAAAGCAAAAACATTGAGTAGTGTCAAAATTTTGTTAATGTTGTAACAGCTTATACAACTAACTAGATAGACTTTTCTTATATTGTAGCCAGTGCTGAATTATGTAGCTTACACAGTATTCAGACTTGTATTTAGATTATGCTACCTTTTAAAATGCTTTTAATCAAGATGACAAAAATTACAATTTCTGGTGTAGTTTAATGGTTACAAGGTCATACAGATTAACAAAAACCATCTTTCTATTTTTATTGTTGAATAATGACAGTAGG